CTAAGCTCTTGATTATAGTGAACATTTTTTGCACTTGGTGTTTCTCTTTTAAGTTTTGTTTTCTCGAGACCTTGACGTACAAAATCCAAGTTTGGTTCACCTGTATCATAGGTTGTTAAACCCTTATAAATTTCTTCTGGAACTAAAATAAATTTATTTGCCATAATTAATTTTATATTAAGATGTAGCAGGGGCTTTTATAGTCATCATCCTTGCCATTTCGATGAGCACTGGTGTCAAAAGAGCGGCAAAAACTCCTACTCCGTCACCTTTTTGATTAATAACATGTCTTGCTCCTCGTTCACTCCTAACCCTACTCATACTTCGCACAAATTCGGCATGAGGTAATAATCTTTTCTTTTGGCGAGTTGTAAGTTTGAACCTCTCTTTTACTATATTCAAACAAATTTCAGCTAAAGCTAAAAGTTGTTCATTATTTGATAATTTTAAAAGCCTTTTCCTTTTTCTTTTAGATTTAGTCTTTGACAATAAATGTAAAAATTTTAAGTTTTCATGAATTAATTGATTAACCATTTCCGTTTATAGGAATAAAAATTATCTTTTCATCGTCTTCCTTAAATATGTTGGTCCTAAGACGGAGGGTAGGATCCGAAGAAGCATGCATATCGACGAGTAAGTAACCAAAAGGTTGTTTGGTTGCCTGTCGATAGGAATCAAGAAAATAATCCAATTGTTTGGGAAATAATTGTACACCTATGTTTCTGATAGATAGCATAGAATTTGGTGATCTCATCAACACAAGATATTGAGAATTTTGTCGTGCTACTTTAATCTTCTTATCGAATAAATTTTGTGTGACAAAAATTACAGAAAAATTTTGATGGTGTGATTTTTTGGTGAATAATTCGGATAAATATTTTTCGTCAACAGATAAAATCAGATCATCAAGAATTAGTAATAGTGGCTTGGGATATTTTTTAATCAAATCCTCAGGTGGAACTCCTGCAAATACATCAACTCCAGATTTTTGCAAAAGAGGTACAATATTGTTCATCTCACCAAAGCAATAAAGTATGGACTTTGGTTTAGGTTCAATTAGATCTGAAGCCTCCGAAATAAGTTTTAATAATAATGTACTCTTTCCACTTGAACTAGGACCAGATATAATCATTCCAAAAGGTAATTTAAATTTTAAATCTTTATTCGAGAAAGCTAAGGAATTCATTATGAATAATTTATGAATATAAGAAAATTTCACTTAAATATCTTTTTAATCGGTTGGTATTCCTGTCACCGTTGCATCTAAACTCTGAAAGAAATCATCCAACTCCTCTTTTGAAGGAAGTGTATCCAAGGGTTGGGGTGTCTGTGTCACTTCTTCAGGAATTGTGGGGAGAATTTTTGGTTCAATTGGTTCAGTTTTGGGACAAGGAATCTCTGTAGAAGCATTGTAGGGTACATTAAATACTCGACCTTTGTTCTTTACTTTGAAGAAGCAATGCCCTGGTAAATCATATAATAAATCAAAAGGAACGAATCTACTTCCTTCAAACCGGGTGCAATAGACTACAACCCCTTCCTTTACTATTATAAAATCTAGTTCAACTTCGGTGCTCTTACATTTACGACACTTCCCTCCTTGGTCATAGGGAAGAAAACGGGGAGTTGTATAACGGACACTGGAAATTGTAATCCCTGTTGATGAAATATTAAATTCAACCTCAGGTAATATTTTTGGGTACTTCATTTTTAGATAATTTCTCGGTCTTATGTCTCCGATTATACTAAGTTAGGAATATTAGACGTGAAGTAAAATAAATTTCTCTATACAAAACTGAACAAGTATGGTATAAACCACCACTTTGAATATATTAGATAATTAAAACTGTTAGAGTAATTTAATACCTGAGGGGATGTTGCAATAGTTATATTTTGGTTTAAGTCTAGTTGTAAACTATCATTGTATCTCTTCATACCATAGTGGCGAAATGGTGTTAACCTATAAAATTCAAAGTCTTCTGCATTTGCCCTAGATGCTTTTAATAAGTGTATTGGACACTGACACCTTCCTGGTATAGGACCTGTAATGTTAAGGGGTAAATTCAATAAGTATTTTGGACATCTACAGGGTTCTTGTTTCCACATATCTTGCCATCTGGGATCATCTACTAGAGATATGTTTGAAGAAGAAGAAAGGGGAAATAATAAAAATAATATAAGCATTTTGATTAAAGATTGTGGAAACCTGGGGTCTTTTATACCGCTTCCATTCAAAATCTCCTGAGAATGATACGACTCAGCTCGTCGAGCCGGTCAGAAAAAGTACCTATATGCCTATACTTGGAAAAGTTTCATGTTCCAAGGTCTAGAACTCGAGTTTTGAGCTCGATTTTAGGTTCAAACCACTTTGGTACGATTTAACTCATCAAACTGATCAAAATGTCAAAAATGACATATGTCAACTGACATATGTCAAAATGTCAATTGACACATTTCTGGATGTCAATTTACCCACGAAGATGTGTGAGGCTAGGGAATAGTTTGGCGAAGTGTTTTTTCAATTATTTTTTAAGAGTACCTCTTGAACCGGTTCAAAAGTACCTACTGAACCCTTTGGGAACTTCTTGAGCCTTTTGGTTAGAGAACTTTTTGGTCTTGGGAAATTTCTACTTATTTAAAATTTTTACACCCTAAACCGGTTTGTCAAAATATTCCAAACCGTTTAAACATTTTAGCACCCCTTAAACCTTTAAAATCTTTGACCAACATTGGGGTTGGTTTAACTACTTTTTATTTTATATTTAACCTTTTTTCCCTATCTAACAATAATTTTGCAAAATAATTTTTGCATGACCTATTCTATATAATTATTACTTTACCACAATAATTTTTGCAAAATTATTGCATGAATGATTTTTTGTATAATTATTATATATTTTCCTTTTTTACAATAATTTTGTAATTTTTTCAAATATTAATGGTAAAAAAAAGAGAAATGAATAGAAAATAGAGGAAAAGGTGAAACTTTAGAAGAAAAAGTTTTTAGAACAGTTTAAAGTGAAAAATATGGGAAATCTTGGTTTGAACCGGTTTAAAACCACTTCTTGAACCCTTAAACCTTTAGGAACAATTTTTACTTTTTGGATATGTAATCTTGTGATAAATGTGGGAAATCGTGTTTTGAACCGATTAAATCGGTTTAAAACTACTTCTTGAACCCTTAAACCTTTAGGAATAATTTTTATCTTTTGTATATGTAATCTTGTGACAAATATGGAGAATGGTTTGACAATGTGTTTTTCTTTAAAAAGTTCACACCAAACCGGTTTGATCAAAGTACGCTTTAAACCTTTTGAAAACTTCTTGGACCTTTGACGACGGAATGTATGTATTTTAAATACCGTTTAAATATGTGGGAGGGGCTAAATGATTGGACCCCGCTGCCCCCCGCGACATATACGCCGGACTAACTACTATAGGGGTTGAGGTCAAAAAGATGGTACGGGTTGAAGTCGGGCCAGTTAAAAAATTTGACTAAAAATCCAGATTTCACTATCAGGTGGGGGATTTTAAATATTTCGAGCATATAGAAAATGAGGCTCGTTTTATTTTTAAATTTTCTTTGACTTAAATAATTTTTAAAAATTATGAATAAAAACAAAAAATAAAAATCCTAATATTTATTTAAGAAAAAATTTTTTAACTAAAAACTACTCAATATAAGAAAAATCAAATTTACATTACTTATATTTAGATGATCTTCTTAATAGTCACTGGTACTTCTCGGGGTATTGTCGTTAATTTTTGGAACGGGGGGTTAAATACACAACCCCCTTCTATTTTTGCTAATTAGAGGTGGGTCGGAATTTCGAGTTTTGACGTTTATTTCCTCGATTTCCGAAATTTTGGAAAAATTTCCGATTTTCGACAATTTTCAAGATATTCAAATCTCGAGGCTTCCCAGCTTATTAAAAAATATCTCAAGTGTTAATAAAGTAAAGCAGCTGGGCTATAGCTATTTCTCTCCTTTAGCTAGTACAAAAGGTTATTCGGCGGCTGGGAGCGAACCAGCATCTTCAGTAGACCGGATGATCTGTTAGCCATTACACCACGCCGCCTACTGCACAGCCTTAGGACTTAAATAGCTACCGTATATACTCGATTAATTCCCCTGGGGAATTAATCGAGTAAATACGGTATATGCTTTACAATAACAACTTACAACAAATGCAGAGCCATCAAAACCAGCTGCATATTCCAATGGTTGGACTTGAATAACAATTTTATAAACACCTTAAAAATATCTACTTACACTCCTCACATTCTTGCCCAGCCCAAAAATCACGGCAATGGCACGTTACATGTGTCGAATTTATTTCTTCACAACTTCCATGTATTCCACAAGTCTTTTGGTCACATAAACCTCGGAATATTTTTTGTTCTAAGCCTTCTAATGTTTCTTTTTGATGGTCTACTGTTACTAGAGGCTTCCCTTCTGTAGAGTAAATTATTGTAGCCGGCATTTGGTCAGTTGAGGTTTCTATGTGTGGCATTGTGTATTTGGACCTTTCGACGCCTGACATTTTGTCCTCGGACGTTTTGTCCACGGATGTTTCGTCAGTGGATGTTTTGTCACTGGACGTTTTGTCTTCTGACGTTTTGTCTTTTGGCATTTCGATATTTGACGGTAACAATATCACTGATGGAGCTGGCATTAAAGTAGTCAACTCGTCCTCTTCATTCTCTTCTGTCAAAGGCGATAAGGTAGATTCCTCATCCATTTGAATAGTACTGTAGATTGTCTCTGGTGTTTGAGCCTCTTTAATAACTGTAGGAAGGGGATCGGGCGAGAGAGTATCAAGCATAATTCCAGGATGTGGCTAAATTGAAGGGAGATAGAATGCTACAGGAAATCTAGGTAGAAAACTCAAGGATAACTCGAGGATATTCACTATACGATACTCCTTGGGCTAAAAATCTATCTCGAGTGGTCTAGTAAATTCAAAAAGCTTAATTTGAAGAGTACCTAATCCTGGTATCTATCTTATATTGAAAGCTGAGTATATTTTGTGCTTTACCGGTTCCACAGAAGCTTCAACAAATTCTGGTTCATATTTATCTTCTTCACTTTTAACTTCCTGTTCCCTATAGCCAGCATCTTTAACTTCAAGTAACGGATCTTCTGTAACTTCAGTCACCACAGGAATATAAGGAGAGGTAATTGAAGGTGTTGAGGTGGTTGTTGCATAGTCTTCCTCTTCCTTCTCCTCCCTCTCTTCTTCTTTCTCTTCTTCCTCCTCCTTCTCTTCCTTCTCTTCAACTTTTCCCTCCTCAGTTTTCGCCTGGCACTTATTCAAATTAACCGCAATTGAGTCCTTTTTATCAATCAAATCCTTCAATCCCACCAAATTTCCATTCACACTCAATTCACTCAAACACCCATAGAAGGGCATAACCTCATCCAATTGCACACTATTTTTGTATTCTTTGCTTCTCTGTTGAGGTAACAATCCTCCAAGCAGAAGAAAAATTCCGGAAGACTGTTCAGGGTATTTTAGAGACGGCAATTTCCAAGTCCCTTTAGGCCTTCCATCTACTAGCAATCCAACCTCGTCTGTTCCCAATTTTTCTAGGCGTATTAGCATGGAATTTTGGGGTTTCAATTTTTTGATTAATGAAGGCTTTTTTGTTGTTGAGGGAGAAGATTGTTGCAAGTCTGAAAATATTTATGTTATCATCTGACTTATAACACTTTTCTTAATATCCCAATCCTTCAGCTACCCCTTAAAAGTAGGATAAGGGTGATAGAGTGGATAGATAGGTGGCAGCGTAACAGTATAATTACTCATATCAATGCTTTATATATCATTTTTAAACTTTATATCATTAAACTCATTTCAGGGTCAGGGTCAGTTGGTCCGAAAACCCTCGATAAGCGCTACCTTTTTCCCATTTAGATGGATTCAAGTCAATAAGTATGAAAAACAACGATTTCTTGCGCTTATTTATTTGTTACTTTCCAATGCGTCATCAGACTTGATCCATCCAGTTGGAAAAAGTAGGCTTATCGAGGGCCTTCGAACGATATAAAATTCATCCTGATTGGATAAATTTACAGAAATCATAAACGATTAAATTGGCTGGCGTTCAACCGGCTTTGCTAAACGCCGGTTGAACGCTTCAGTACACACAGTAATCTTGAGAGATGTTTAAGCGAGTGATTCGAGCTTCTATTCTCTCTCATCTCAAAAGTATTCTAATCTGGAGGGTTAAAACAAGTTTACTATAAAAGCCTCTCCAAGTTTGACGCAATCTACAGACGACAACAACGGCTGGCGACAACATTCAATTAAAAGTCTCGCTTCTCTCCGCTTCATACAAATGGCTTCTCCAACAGAACATTTGGCTGCTCTACTCTTCTTTTCAATCGACATTGCTACTTGCACGTTTCCAGCAATCGCGTTGCTCCTGTTTTCTGTAATGTTCGTGGCTTGTTGCAAGAAGAAAAAGGAGGAAGTTCAGGCTGAGGAAGAGGTAAAATTCTTTGGGGACATTTGGTCCCATTTTGGCGATTAATGTGTTTTTGATTTTTAGAGTCCAAAAAAGAAGAAACGAGACAAGGAGCGTAAGAAAGCAAAAGCTAAGCCGGAACCAGCAGGCGAGCCAGAGTGGAAGGTGGAAGAACATCGAGAGGGACTCGGTGAGGGAGGGGCTTACCAAACGCTGGATGACTTGAACCTGAACAAAGACATATTCTTGGAAGGAAAGCCAAACCAGCCGCCACAAGGACTCACATTCATGAAAGAAGTGAAGCCAAACCAGATGCCTCGACAAGGAGGGAGGCCAAATCAGATGATGCCACAAGCTGGTCGACAGACGGGGAGGCCAACACAAGCACCCGGTCCACCATTTCAAGGAGGAGGAAGGCCAAGACAGACTCAAGTTGGTCCACAAGAGATAGAAGATGTGCATCGTGCAGGAGTTGGACAAGGACAAGACTATCAGACGTGGAATGCGTTGGACCAAAACGTTTTTGTCACCAAGAATAAAGCGCCACCTAATCAAATGACCAAAAATGTGCCACCTAATCAAATGACCAAAAATGAGGGGACTCCACGAGCGGGTATTGGACAGGGCGCGGATTATCAAACGTGGAATGCCTTGGATCAGGTAGAGAGACTTTAAGAGATAATTTTGTAGTTGTAAAGAGGAGTTGATGTTTTTGCGGACAAATTTTTGCGCACAAATTTTTACGATTAAAGAAGAGTTTACGATTTAAGAAAGATCCGCAAAAAATTTGCGGACAAAAATAATCCGCAAAGTTTGTCCGCAAAACTACGCAAACTCATCGAAAAAGTGCCGTTAATTTCCTAACGTTATCTAATGCTTCTCTTAATTTTTCAGAATGTGTTTGTGAAGGGACGACGATAAATGCTCAACCATTCTGCCTTGTTTGCCTAAATCTCCTAAAAAGAACTTGAATAGTCAGCTTGTTAAATTGATGTTTGATATATAAAATGTTGTATATTTTTGTTGTTTGTATGTTTGTTTGTGTGTTGTTTATAAAATAAATTTGGGAAATCTCTCTCCTTTTTTAAATTTGAGCAGAAAATTTTATAGGAAGATGTCTAAGCAGAACTTTGTTCCCAGAAAGGAAGCATAGTAGTTTCCAAAAACAGATCAAGACAGAAACTCGAGAAGAGTTTTGAACAAGACTTAATAAGAGTCACGAACCTCTCGAAAGTATACGATCCTCAAAACTTAATCCTCACTCACTGAGGATCTCTGTGGCTTTGTGTTTAATGTGACCCAGATGGATTGAAAAAATTCATACGGTACACTTTAACTATATTTGATCATTTCGAGTATTTACCATTTTGAGGAAGCATAGTAACTCCCGCAAGAACTTGCGCATCTTGTTCCCTCATTAATACCGCAAGCAGTTGTTCTTGATTGAAAGGACTAATGGTTGGCTTCAGGCGAAATTCGACCTAAAATTATATATTAAGTAAAATTTTCGAAAAAATGTCTAATTTTTTCTGATTTTTTTTAAAAAATTTGGGAAATATTTGACTAAAAATTCTGAAATTTATAGCAATGGTAGTCTAGTTTAAGAAGTATATCTGGGCAAAATTTCATAATTTTGGGTTCATTTTTGCCTATTTTATAAGCCCTCAACTTAGCTTTATTTGTAATAAAACCTACCATAAATCCATCATTTTTACCCATTTCTCCTTCATTTTTGGTAGAATTTAAAGAAAATGCTAAAAGTGAATTTTCTCCGTTAAATTCAATACTCTTCATTTCTTCTTCAAATTTATCATCTTTATTTTCACATTGTTGTCCTATCCAGCTGGGAGGGCATAAACATTTTGCCTGACCTCCCTCCCATAGACAAACACCTCTATAACACCAACGACGTCTATCAACTGGACAAACTCCATCTGTTGAAGGAAGAGTACAAAATTTGCCAGTAAATCCGGACTGGCATTGACACTGAAAATTGGGTAAATTTCTAGAACAAATTTATAGGGGTAGGGTGAAGGGAACATGAGGTAATGCGAAGGGAACAACGAAATAGCGAAGGGGATAGTTTGAAGAGTAGTGTGAAGGGAACCTTAAAGTAGGGTGAAGGGAACATCTAAGTAGAGTGAAGGGAACATCAAAGTAGGGTGAATGGAACATCTAAGTAGAGTGAATGGAACATCAAAGTAAAGTGAAGGGAACATCTAAGAGTAGGGTGAATGGAACATCAAAGTAAAGTGAAGGGAACATCAAAGTAGGGTGAATGGAACATCAAAGTAAAGAGGGAACATCCTTAAGTAGGGTCAATGTTCCCTTTGCACTAACTATCCCCCCAGCTATCAACTCTCATTTTCCACCTGAAACACTCCCCATCTATCAAGAAAACATCTTCCTCCATTCTTACACGGCTCTCGAGAGCACTCATTAACTCGTTGTTCCAGACTACTCTTTTGATGTGTATTTTCCTCTGAAGGAATTTTCCCTTGATTTTCCTTTAGATTTTTCAAATCAATTTCTTTATCATTCAATTTTAGTCTTCCGATTGACCCAACGAAGGGTAGAGACGTTTTTTGAATATCTTGTCTTCTATATGGATCTACTCCTCCTAGAAATATACGTGAAGGGTTCCAAACTTTGGTAGATGGCTTGTCCAATCTTCCTGGAGTACTGTAGAAGAGTTCATTTGGAACTTGAGAATTCACCCGAAGAGAAGCTTAAAAAAGATTAGATTGAGATATTTAAAGCTTTTGGTATTTTGGAATATGAGTGTTACGAGTTTGAGTGTTTCGAATATTCGGTTTAATTTCAGAAAATTTTGCACGAGTTTCAGAATTTTTTTCAAAATTTTTTTTGAAATTCAGAACCAAAGGTCGGTCGGAATTCAAATTTCCGACGTTTTTCTCCTTTCGATTTCCAAAAATTTGAAGAGATTTGCGATTTGCGGCAATTTTTATAAATACACCACTGACTGTTCCGAACCACGTCCTGTCAGGACGCCCGTAGAATATACCCGGACCTCACTGTAGTACACTGAAAGCAGAGGGATATCTTGCAGGGAGGTCCGAATATTATTCTATAATTAAATTTTTCTCAATTTAAAATCACCTCTTCCATGAGGATTGTTAATTACCCTCAAAATTGACCATCTGTTCTTCTGTAATTTAGAGTTGCTTCTAAGGACTTCTTAAAGAATTTTTTTCAAATTAAATATATTAAGTATACTTACTCTCTTTATTCAAATAAATATTTTTAAAAGAATATTGGGGATATCCATTGACCAGTTCAAGTCTGTGAATAATTCCAGGTGGTCCAATTGAAGGAGCAGAGCTTGTGGCATGGACTATAACACCGTTTGAAGAGTGTGGAAGGACATGAAAATTTTAATAAAAATTAATTTACACTTGTGGGAGTGTTTAAGGAAGCTCAGGTCAACAAAAGGTAATGTGAATGATCGGGTTGAAACAAGTTGTTGGATAGGGATAGGCTAGAACTGAACTTTAGGATACACAACATTATTATAAATATAAGTTCCTAATGTATATGTAGAGCTATCTTGAGGTAATCCAGATGTGGTCCTATTGTATAGAAGCTATCTAGTGCGATTTCAGTGAATCTTTTTGAACCATTCGAACCAATGGACCAAGTTATGAAATGAAGAGATTTAGGAGAAACGTAAACAAGGATAATTAATATAAGATGGAGCATTAATGTCCTAGTCTCCAGTTAGATTTGTGATCGGATAGAGTATTGAGAGTTCTGAAAGTTCTGAAAATATGAGAGAGCCTTTATATGTAGTTCTGCCAAAAACCTTCAAGTTTTTTACTTCAAATCCCTATTGTTTTAGACATATGTACATCCCAATTCTTTCGAGATATAACTTTAAAAATTTTTAATTACTTGCAATTCCAAATCAAAATAGTCAAGTGACTGATTCCTTTCTGTAGTCAATTCAATAGGTCCTGTCCCCAAAAATTCTAAAGTCGAAGATGGGGGTTCAAAAAACTCGTTCTCTTTAGCTTCAGTTTCCGCTGCTTGGACTTCGAGTTCATTTACCCCTCTACTCTCCGCTGGCAATAAAGGATCAGGCTCTACAATAGATACAATACTCTCCTCAGGTTTCAGAGTGCTTTCTGAAAATATTTTTGAAGAAATTAAAAAAAATAAACCGTTGGGTAAGGAGAATAACTAAGAAGAGGAAAAATGCTCTTCGAAGCAAGAGGGTTGTTATCGTCTCAATCATACCCCGGTACCCCAAAATAGACTAGTGGTTCTAATCCTTGCTTTATTAACTCAAGTAAATCTAACACTAGAAAATCAGGAACTTCGATTATGCGAGCTCTCAGAGGCACACATTCTCATCCTCTTAATCATTCCTTGATCCTTAACTAGACCTGGATCAGAGCTGCCTCGAAACCAAAAAGATTTCAAAAATCGTTTGGAATAGAAAGAAATTCGGATCGAAATCGAAGGAACCGACGAACCGAGGACTCGATTTCGGATATCTGAAGAATTTCCAGGAACCGACGACCCTAGTTGTTATCCATCCTACCATTAACTCGTGATTCTATTCTTAACTTTATCAACTAAGTAATTCGAATCCAAAAAATACAGTGACTTTGAGAGGAATAGCTCTCCGAAGCTATTTTTCCAATGATCTCTACAGCACCCTTAACTAGACGGGGAACAGCTGTTCCGAAACAAAAAACTCCAAAATCGAGGTAAAATCGAGGAGATGGGACGTCGACAGGAGCTCTTAACGGTATGATTCTTAGCCTTCTTACAAGGAATTGCTCTTCGATACAGACTATGTACAACACAAAAATTCACATCAAACAACAATTAATTGTTTTTCAATCAACACAACAAGCAAAAAAATATTTTTTAAATTTTTATTTAATAATAAACAAAGGAAGTGAATATTTTTTGTTCTTTTTCACTGGGTGGCAGTGCAAAAGTAAGGGAAAGAAAGGCAAGAAGTATTTTTTAAAACAATTAAAAATGGCGAGTATGTAAATTAAAAAAGAATAATAAAGATCAGAATAAAAAAAAATTTTTTTTAAATTATATTTAAATTTCTGATATTGAATAATAATAATGGGGTTTAAATTAATGTTAAATGTGTGTATGTACATTGTATTTTCGAATCAAATAATATATAAGTAGAATAAGAACAGAATTATACACATCAGAATTTCAGATTAAAAAATCAGAATTTTTTTCGGATTATAAATCAGAATTTTTTTCGGATTATAAATCAGAATTTTTAATTCTGATTGATCAGAATTTATATTTAACAAGTAATACAAAATCAGAATTTTTGTTTTAAATCAGAATTTTTATTGTTCAAAAATCAGAATAATTAATTCTGGTCATATTACAAATCAGAATTTTTATTTTTCAGAATTAAAATTCTGATTAACACATATTCTGAATAAAAATTAGAAATCAGAATTTTAGTTTTAAATCAGAATTTGTATTTTCCATCAATCAGAATTTATAATTTAGGTAAATACAATTTAAAAATTAAGATTTATTATATAGAAAAATTAAATATAGTATTCAGAATATTTTTTAAATTGAGCGCTAATAATGGCAATATGAAGTGTGAAACAGAAAGCAAAAAAAATTTAAAAAATCTCTAATTTATTCAAGACCAAAACCAAGAACCAAAAGTGCTATGTCGCCCAGAAACAGGCGGTAGATCGTGTCTAATTTCATAATTATGGTAATGCTTTGCATGGTTATTGTGTGAACGTTCGGCTCTGTGATATCTGAAATTTTATTTTTTTTTTGGAATTTCAGAAAAAAAATTTCAGAAATTTTCAGAATTTTTTTCTGAGAATTTTTAAATTTTCCAAAAAGATACCTCTCAGCCCTGCGCCTCAAATTATCTCCTCTAACCTTCTGTTTTTGCACATTTTTCTTATCTTTTGAGGCATTTAATATAACCACTCCAACATCTCCTTTTTTAACAAGTGCACGTCTTCTTTGATGCCTTAGTCTACGTAGACGACGACGTCTAGAGGGGTAGGTGGGGGCTGGCCGTCCAAGTTCAACCTTAATTTTATGAGAAGATAAGTCAAAATTGGGAGGGGATATTAGGGATTTTTCTGTTAAAAGAATCTAGTAACAGTCAATGGTATTGGAGCCACATATGAGGATATTCAAATCCCAGAACGTGATTTATAAAGATGAGTTAAGGGAAGAAGTTACCGTATTTTTTAGTTTAATTCTATACCCTTGAATAAATTCTCTATCAGAGGTCGGCTGGAATTCCGATTTCCTGATTTTGAGCCATTTCCGATTAACGATAGTGCAATATCTGACACCTTTATTTCCGATTGACCTCTACTCCATTCAAGAATTTATTTGAAAAAAATAATTCCACAGTGTTAAGGGTTAATTAAATACGGTAAGAGTGGGAGATGAAGTTTGCTTGAGAGTATTTAAAAGTTTGAGGGAACTCTAGAGGATATAGAATGATAATCTTTTTAAAAAAGGAAACTGACCACTTCGGTATGTAAACTATGTTGTTTCCCCTCTTCATTATTTTCAGCTAAAGTATATTCAACGCCTTTAGGTTGTTCTGGAGGTCTTTTAGTTATTTTGGGTCTATGTAGATGCTTTCTCCGGCGTTTTTCTGCTTCAGTTTCCTCATCATTTTCAACGTTTAAGAGAGCTGAGGTTTCTAATATTCCTTCTGACGTGTGTGCGCGACAACGATATTTTCCGGTGTTTTCGGAAGAGATGGAAGTGAACAATAAACGATTGCCAGTAACCTAAGGGAGAAAAATAAATTTTAAAAAATTAATAAAAAATTTTTGCTTGTGTAATCTATATATCATTCGACGCGGCTTTTCGAGCTGCGTCGAATGAGACCAAGATCATCTTCATCGGACAAAAATTGACAAAGTTATAGTCAAAATAAAAAATATTGCCTGAGGGCATATGCAATTATTTATGTCATATATGTATGGTAAATAAAATATTTTATATCATTCTACGCGGCTTTTCGAGCTGCGTCGAATGATACCAAAATCGTCCTGTTCGGACAAAAATGGACAAAGTTATAGTCAAAATAAAATATATTGCCTGAGGGCATATTAATATTTTCTGAAACTTGCCTGCGCATTTTCAGGCAGTTCATCAGAATCATCCTTCAAAAATTCAATTTTAGCATTAGGATCACCAGCAACCGAACAATCTAGCCATGCACGAGAACCTATAGTAACCGATTCGTCTGATACATTCAAGATAACTTTAAGTATTGTTTCGGGAACTTGAAAAATTTTTTGTAAAGTATTAAATTTTATATTCTGTTTCTACCAAATATTTTGGCATTCAAATATCCATTTACTGTATTCTGTCCATATTGAACTGTGCAACGGTAAATTCCGGCCATGGAATCGTCGAATTTATCGATACTAGAAAAATATGAATTTTTGATTCTAGAGGAGACTTAAGTAGGGTTGACATTTCATAGGTAATATACTGTATCTCTCAAATAATTAAGTTGGGTAATTATTGTAAATATAGCTTCTCTCGCTGTAGGGGTAATTAACAGAGGTTGGTAATTGTGAGGTTATCTTAGGAGGGCTAATTATAACAATTCTTAAGGGGGTAATTATTATTTCAACATCTGGCTGGAGAGGCTAATTCATAGGGGAAGGGGGGGGGTAATTATTTGATGGAGTGTAATTAATAGGGAGGGTAACTTTTTGAGTAACTTCGGTGAAAATATTTTTTAATTATTCCTTACACCAATTTATCAGCTTCCTGATGAGCTCCTGAAGGCAAAGAATCTCCACTTTCCCGACTCCATTGAACCGTCGCACCGGGGACTACAAACACAGGGCAGGTAAATATGGCTTCTGAATCCTCGTCAAATTTGGACTCGACTGCGTCTAAAAATTAGAAGAAAATTATTTTGTATGGGGAAAGTTGATAGACAGTGACCACGTGAACTTAAACTTCCATAACTCATGAGCGGAAAGACTAACAGTGAAGCAAATGGTACCGTTAGATAGAGCAGAAAATTGGCTACTAGAAATAATAAAGAATTTGATTTTAGGCCGTCAGTCAAAAAAAGTTATGGCCAAAAAACTGATGTCACTCTAACGAAAAAATGAAATTTTCCGAGGATTTTCAGCCATAACATTTTTTCCAAATAATCTAAAATTTTGGTTTCTATTTTTATTTATGGCCAAACTTCTCCTCTATTTAACAATACCAAAAAACTCCTAAAAACTTTATCCGCTAGAAAGTTATATTTGTTCAAGTTCACTTGATCACGAGTTAATACAGGCAATAAATTATAGGAAAATGTGCATAAGAAATTGCAGAAAAATGTTAAAATTTAGGAAATTGTTTTATTTAAAAAGCAAAAAAGTTACAGGGAAAGAGGGGTGTTCAGAAAATTTTCAATTAAATTTTGAAATTCCAAAAATTTCAAAAAATTCTTGCTGTGCGCTAAAAATTTTTTCAACGCCAAAATTTAAAAATTAAGCGTTTTGTTGAATAAAATTGTTATTCATTTAATTTAAACTTTTTAAACACTACTAACTCTCATCAGATTCAAAACCAACAGCTACAGCAGTCTGTGCCTGCCCCAAAGCCTCTCCATCCTCACTTTCCACCTCACAACGGTAAATACCGTAATCATTGCTTGGATCGGCACTTTTTATTTGTAATTGGCTTTGTTTGCCCAAATCTCTAATAAGCGATCCACCACGAGCTAAGGACCAGGCATAGTTGAATTCCTCGCCGGAATGCCCTAAATTGGCGTTTTTGGCGTTTTGTTAATTTTTGGGGAAGTGACCATATTTGGGAGGGAAGGACATTAAGTAAAGTTATGTTAATAGAGAATTAATTAGCTTAATATATATTTTTTAAAATTAAATTAATTATTTGTTAATTGGATGCCCCAATTTTTTAATTAAATTTAGTTAGAAAAAAGAAGAAAATTATTGGTAAAGCATGAAAATATTAAGTGGGAGGTACGGATGTTTTTTAATAATTAAAAAAATTTTTTGTCGAGTGCTGACTTTTTCTAATAAATCATTCGATGCAGTTTTTCGAGCTGCGTCGAATGACATCAAGATTAACTTCATAGGGCAAAAATTGATAAAGTTATGCTTAAATTTAAAAAATATTGCCTGAGGGCATTTAATGATAATTCAACTAAAAATGCTTAATTAAGCCAGTTTTTGTCAAATTAATATTAAAAGCAATATTAAAAAGCGAAAGAAAAACAAAGCTAAAGCAAAAACAGAAAAAAGCAGTGCTATATGAACTCTGACCATTTGGTCTTATAACCAAATACAATGCCCTGCTTTTGACCAATTTGCCACTCGACAATTTGCCCATAGCCACATAAAATCCAGAATTTTCAGGTTTAAGCTGCTTCAGATGGATAATATTGGAATCTGTAGAGAAGATATGGAAGAGGCAAAGAGGTCGTCGTCCGTAAAACCAGTCGAAGGAGAGAAGCATTTGACCAGGTTTAGGTTTTCCTGTGATGCAGTAGAATGAAGGGAAAAATTTTTTAAAATAAAATGTATAAAAAACTGAATAAACTTAATAAAAAAGCATAAAAATCCCTCCACCATATATTTAAAAAAATTAAAAGAGAATTTAAAAAAAAGCGCGAAAACTAAAATTCAAAAAGGGCAAAAAAATCAAGAAGGGGAAATTAATGAATTTTAAAATTCCCAATCCGCAAAAATTTTTTTGGCCGCAAAAATTTGTCCGCATGTTTATATTTGCGGATTCTGCAATTTTGGATTTACGGAAATATCCGAAAATTTTTTTTTCTTACGAGGGTTGGGGTTTTCGAATTGGGCCGACGTTCGAGTTATTATTTTTCGAGTTTCATTTATCAAGACGGCCCGACCCAACCCTATTCTTTGTATGAAAAACCATGAAAATTTCCCGATATGTCAGTCATAGCCTAAAAATTATTTCCCCAAATTTTAATAATAATGTCCTCTTCCTCCCTCAAAAATATTTTTTTTTAATTTTCCAACCGTGCACAATACAATCAAGCACAATAGAATCCCCTTGATTTACCACCCTTATGTTTGGTGGAGATATGTCAACTTGAAGTAGTTCGGGTTTAGTATCTCCTTCGGGGTGGAGTTCCACCCTGCTGCTGGCTATCACTTCGTTTTTCCTATAGGCACTGCATTCGTACTCGCCCTCATCTTCTGCCTTTAATTTAATATTAAATAAAAGTAAAAGTTAGGATACTGTAAAATATTTTTTAAGAAGGAATAACTGAGTGATTAACACTTTCCAGTAGGGCCACTCAAAGGAAAGGAGCGTTCCGGAAGGTCCGCTCAAAGGAACGAGCTCATTCAAGCTATCAAAATGTCTCAACGATCAGTTGTCCTATACTTAGGCTATGATTGAGCCATGATTCTCTCTCTTTTACCATACCCCAAAAATATCAAAGCTATTTCAAAGGAACTCCGAATCACCGGACTTAGGTATATCTCCAAAATCTCTGAGATATCCCTAATTACTCAGAGACATCCAAAATAACTTTTAGATATCCCCAAGAACTCTGAGATATCCCAAGGGAGAGAGGGCCAAAATACAAATTTATGAGAATTCAATAACTCCACCTTAAACGCATCAAATCGAAGAACTCCTCCTTTATCCGCTTCAGCATGTCGAGGCAATTCCCCTCCACCAGCTTTACTCCACTCCACTTTCTCGACTAGCGAAGATACAGAAGCTGCGCAAACTAATTCTACAGGGTGTCCAAGGGGGAACCATTGATGCTGGCCACCGAGAATTCCAACAGTTGCTAGTCCAGAGGGTTCGATGACTTGAAAATTTAATTTTTTTGAAAAAAATTTTTTTTGAAATTTTCAAAATTTTTTTGAAATTTTTTAAAAAATTTTTCAAAAATTTTTTGAAATTTTTCTTAATTTTCTGATCTTTCTATTCACCTTCAATACAAATTCCTTTAGTTATAAAAGCATTTTGATGACTGGCTCGGCATGTGTAACATCCACTATTTCCTAAGCCTATACTTGGGTGTCGGAGGAATTGCTCGGAAATTGTGATAGGCACAAAATCGTCAGGAAGGTCTCCTCGTTCTGGTCCGGGGTCGCTAAAATATTTTAAAAATATTTTTTTTTGGCATACTGTCAAAAATCAGAAATTTATTACTGTAGCCATTCAACGTCAGGTTCGGGCTCTCCACGGGCCTCACATTTAACTTCCAAAGGCTCTCCAGCAATTAGTTTTAGGCGGGCAGGTGCCGGCTTGCCTGGTGGAATAGTAATTTTTGGTGTACTGTCAGGTGGAGAAATATTGGCCTTAAAAAGATGTAAATGATATGATTGGATAAGAAAATTGTAGAATCAGAATTCTGATTTTTAACTTGCGAAGTTCTGATTTTCAGTCGCGACACATTTATAGTTGTTAGCATAATTCTGATTTTTCAAGCCAGAATTCTGATTTTTCAGAACAGACCAGAGTTCTGATTTTCAGAAAAAATTCTGATTTTTTAAACTAGTTTGATTTCCATATCAGAATTTTGATTTTTAATTTTGAAGTTCTGATTCTGTTCAGATATTTAAGATCAGAATTAAGGTCCACTTCTGATATTCTGATTTTCAGTTCTGATTTTTAAATCAGAATTCTGATTTTTAATTTTGAAGTTCTGATTCTGTTCAGATATTTAAGATCAGAATTAAGGTCCACTTCTGATATTCTGATTTTCAGTTCTGATTTTTAAATCAGAATTCTGATTTTTAATTTTGAAGTTCTGATTCTGTTCAGATATTTAAGATCAGAATTAAGGTCCACTTCTGATATTCTGATTTTCAGTTCTGATTTTTAGATCAGAATTCTGATTTCTATTTCTTATTTTGAGCAGAATTCTGATATTTTTTCTGATCACAATATTAATATTAAATTTTGTTCTGATCACTCATTACCTTTCCATCATCAGAAGCCTCTCCCAACGGATTAGTAGCTGTACAGGTATACATCCCATCATGCAATTCCTTACTTGCATTTGTAATTTCCAATACTCCATCCCCCAAATCAACAACCCCTTCGGGTAATTGCCCTTCCTCGACTCCTGGGCCAGTCCAAGAAATTGTTGGGTAAGGATTTCCAGTTACATAGCATTTAAATTGGTGATTATCCCCTGTTTTGCCGTTCCAGACTTTAGGTTCTACTCTTGCTGTTGGAGGTTCTTCTTCTGTAAAATGAGGGGGTTTAGTAGGGGCTCGCCCATACTTTGACTGTCTTATTAATCTTACGGTCAGTAATAGAAAGGTGTACAGGTTGAGCGACCCCTCTTCCGAATTCATTAGTAGCAGAACAGACATAATCGCCAATGGTTGACTCATCCGCCGCATGGATTAAAATATCCTGATCATCCACACTGACGTCAGTTGGAAGAGCACCGTTGGCAGAACCAAAGCCCCAAAATATCTGAGCAGGTGTATCACTGTTTGGTTCACAATGGAAACGGGCAGGTTCTCCACGAGGTACAGTCTGTTGAGGTGGAGTAGCTACAGGAGCTGGTGGTTTGCCTGGAGGTTTTTGAACATCCACAACAGATGGTGGATTGACATAAATGCGTGCGGGATCAGAGGTCTGATTTAGAAGGGAAAATTTTGTAAGGAAGGAAACTCCTACTTAAAAATCACCTGAGGAGGAGCACCAGGAACGTGTGGGAAATGGGCAATACATTCATAATCTCCTTCATGTTCTTTATATGTTTGGGGAATGTGCAGATTTCCACGTCCATCATCTCTAGAACCGGAAGGTAGAGGAAGTCCACCAGGCTTTGTGAAACGAAGCTGAGCTTGGGAATCGCCTGGAACCCAACAACGAATGCGAGAAGGTTTTCCTTCGGGAACGTGTTGTTCTGGTGGATCAATTAGTGGTTTTTTGGCTGAAAAGTGATATTAAATTATTAGAAGGACGGAGGTTCAGTCGAGTTTATTAGAATTCTCTTCACTCTACTTTCATTTTACATTCACCCTATTTCCTCACCCTACTATGATGTTCCCTCCACCCTACTTTCATGTTCCCTTCACACTACTTTTATGTTCCCTCCACCCTACTTTGATGTTCCCTCCATCCTACTTAGATGTTCCCTTCAGCCTACATTGTTGTTCCCTACACACTACTTTCCTGCTCACCTAACTTTACATTGCTGTTCCCTTCCCCTTATATCTATGTTCTCTACACCCTACTTTGTTCTTCTACCGTGGTAAATAATTTTACAAACTCACGTTCTTGAACATCAAGTTCAACAGGTGGCGATTTAAGCGTTCTTCCACTTTCTGGATGATAATAAGAACAAATATATTGGCCTTCATGTTCAGCAGTAACAGATCGGAATATTAAATGTCCCCCTCTATCTTCAGCTCCATTGGGGAGAGGACCACCTCTCAGAGGTGACCAAGTAAGCTGCGCATTTGGATTGCCTGGCACCCAACAACGGAAACGTGCTGGTTGGCCAATATTTGCAGTTATTCTTGGAGGATCGACCAGTGGAGGTTGTGGTTCTTCGGGCCTTCTTTGACGAACTTCCAACTGCAAAAAATAGAATTTGGAAAAACGTCCAAGCTAGGAAAGAGGGCAAAATAGTTAACTCACCCGGACAGGTGTCGAATCAACAGGGCGTTCTCCATGAGGATCATCATTTGGATTATAAGCAACACAAATATAATCACCAGCATGTCGCATCTCTGCCCTAGGAACGTTCAATTGGGCCCCATTATGTATTTGTTCAACACCACTAGGCAGGCCGTGTTGTTGGGCAGATTTCCAACTGAGAACGGCATCTGGATAGCCTGGAACCCAACAACGATAGGGTCGTGGAATTGGCTGGCCTTCATCGACAACTTGATAAGGAGGTTCAACCAAAGGTTGGAAAGGCTGTTTGGTTCGTATATTAAGCACAACAGGTGTAGAATCTATGGGAGTTATTCCCTGTGGGTCTCTGGAAGGATCATAAGCTGCACATATGTATTGTCCTTGGTGATCATGTTCAGTTCGAGGGAAGTTGAGATAACTTTAAATGAGGGGGAGTTGAAAAATTCCTCACAAAAATCCCTTCCTTACCCATCTCTCTGTTCAGAACCATGAGGCAAACCCCCTCCATGCGCTGGCCGCCAATTAAGGACAGCATCAGGCACCTCCGGTACCCAACAACGAAAACGTGCCGGATTGCCTAATTCTACTGTTTGTTCTGGAGGTTCTACCATAACACGCATAGTTGCTTTAAATTATTTTTTAAATAAAAATTTCCGACATAAAAAACGTCGTGAATTTCCAATTTTTGTGAATTTCGGGAATCGAGACGACACATTCCAATGTCGGGAATTTTTTATTCGTGAATTACAGAAATCGGGACGACATGTTCTCTAGTATATATTGTAAAGAATCGCTTAGAGCAACTAAGACCACTTCAATTTGAGTGATTGGAAGTGGCCTGACTCGCTCCAAAACGATAGAGCCTGGCATCGAAAGGAGCCTGGCTCCTTGATGATCAAATTTATCGGAAAGTTTAAGGACCTATACAGGAAAGAGGGATCCATGTTAGAGATAAAGGGAAATTAAACTTCGTTATTCGAATAATGGTCGTTATTTGAATAGAAGGAACCCCCTTTCTAATAGACCTATTTTAAAAATATTTATATAATTACGTTTTCTAATTTCCAATCGTCCAGGATCCGAAGCAGTAGTTCCTAATTGATGAGTTACACTACAAATATAATCCCCAGCATGTATATCTTGAGCATTTTGAACAATTATTTGATTTCCCCTTCTTTGCCATCCATAAGGCAATGGGCCACCCAATCGTTGGTAATGCCACTCAACTTCACAGTCAGCATAGCCAGGAGTTAGGCAGGTAAATACAGCTTGTTGTCCTTCATCGACAAGTTGATATGGAGGGGTGACGATTGGTTTGGGTAGGGATATTTGTGCTGGGGCAGGTGGGACGTGTATTGGGGGTGGAGGAATGTGGGCTGCTGCTGCTAAAATTTTATTTTTAAAACTTTGAGAAGAATATGGGCTTTGAAAGGATACGATAAGCTCTAACCATCTCCGACCAGAAGGAGCTTTGACCCAAATGGTATTCCGAGAGAAATGAATATTAATTTCAATGATTCCACACAAATAGGTACCCACTCACTATGAATATTCTTAATTAAGGTAGCAACCCGACCCCGAACCCCGACGGATTTTTTTTTAGCAAAAACCCCGACTAGAACCCCGACCCAAAAGTCAACCCTAACAACGACATGCCTTACCCGGCAAACCCCGATCTCCTACACCCCCCTATGGGTCAGGGGCGGGTGTGGGGATCACCTATTCTTAATCCCCTATTCTTAATTTTCCTCTTAGTGCTTAATCAAAAAGGTCTGTCATACATTAACGGGAGCATTTTCCCAAAAATTATCATTATCTTTCTATTGGAGAGAGGATTTATTTTTAAAATCCTCCTGAATAATTCTATGAAAAATTCCAGAAAACCCACCAATATTCAGACTAGCCTCATCAGTCGAAATATCCCCCTTCAACCTTCCAGTACATCTATATTGCCCAACATCCCCATACTGTACTTGATCTATTACAAGTTGATGCCCTATTTGTGAGGCTTTTGAAGGTAAGTCCACCATTCCTATTTTACTCCATTGAATATCTACTAATTCTGGCTGGAAATTTTTTTTTAAATTTTTTAAAAATAAATTTCATATGCACCTTTGAGGCACTGACAACTTTACATGTCCATTTAGCTCGGCCTCCTTCATGGATACTCAAATGTTTTGGGTGAAGGATCTCTACTCGAAGAGGTACTGAAAAATGATCGGATATATTTTATTAAGGTACTTATGTATTTGTCTTTCAGTTAAAATATGAAAAGCAAACGAAAATTGACCTAATGGGAAGTGACCGAAATAAATTCTGCCCGAAATGAAATTTGACCGAAATGAGGTCTGACCGAAATGAGTTTCTGACCGAAATAAAAATTAGACCGAAATGAGTTCTGAACTGGGTTGTCGGTTCTTGAAAAATCTTTGGATATCCGGAACCGAACCGAAAAACAAAACCGAACTCCTCTGTTCTTCTGTTCGTCCAGAACCGACAACCCTATGTAGTTCTGACCGAACTGAGCTTTTTCCGAATTTCTTCTTTTATTCTGACCGAAATGAGCTCTTTCCAAATTTAAATAAAAATTTTCTATTTAAACATAACTTGCAAAAGAGCGAAGGCGAAAGAAAGAGTCGACCATCACCAAGTAACCAAGCGAGCAATTGAAGCAAGAAAAATTTTAATTAAAATTTAAAGAAAGTAAGCAAAAAATAGATAAAATTATTAAAGTTTAAAATTAATATTAAATTAACAAAATTTAATTAAACATAGAAAGAGCCTTTTTATCATGTAAATAAAGAGAGATTTTAATTTAAATTTAATTTTTATTATTGAGTAGAAAGTGTGTAAGGGTTGCTCTCGACGCTATGAGAGAGAGGATGAGTGATTGTCTCCATATGAATCATAGATTGGTTTATATAAGCATAGATTGGTTCGTATCTAGAATAGGGACAAGGGGTATGCCTGTATCGTGTTCCGCTCTGTAAAATCTGTTTTGGCACACCCTTGGTAGGGAAGTAAACTGGCCTAATAAGAAGTCATACTACGGTGTTTTGGAACGAGCTTCGGAACGGGTTTCCGAAATTTTCTCTTCGAATCAGATTTCGGGTCGGAAATGTCCAGGTTCGAGTACCAGTTTAATGTGATGTACACAGGTACGAGTACAATTTCGGTGGGAGCTTTCAAATTTTGAAGGGAAGGTTGGAGATGTCGGGGTTTATCAGTTTCTCTCTCTCTCTCCAGTAGCTATTGAGGGCTACCCAACATTACAATAAGATGAAATTTGATTCATATAATTTTGAACACAAAAAAATTTTTGTAAGATTATTTTAATTTTAAGAAAGAGTATTTTCAAAACAAAAAAAAAATCAAAAAAGGCAGCAAATTAAAGTTTAGTTAAAGCATAAGCAAAAAAGCAAGGCACAAAAATATGAGGACTTAAAACGAAGGCTTTTGAAACTATGTGAAACCTGGCAGGACATAATCTTGTCCCAAATTAGAGTTTATCCAGATTCTGACCTAAGTTGATTCAGATTCCGACGAGATGTAATCCAAATAGAATCGGACCGGAATTAAAGGCTGACCTAATGAATAGGGTTGTTCCCCGTTATAGGGTTGTTCCCCGTCCCCGTTCTCGAAAGTCGGGGAACTTGAGAGAATTTTTAAAATTCCCCCACCCCTCTCCGTGGCACGGTCTCCCCGAAAAGTTATCTCCTTGGCCTTACTAACGAAATCTGACCCAAATGAACCTGAAATAGAACTTTTCCCTAAATTTTCTAGAGTTTCAAACAAAGCCTTTCCATTAAAACAGAAAATTAAGAAAAACATAATCTCAACACCCAAAAAAAGCTCAAAAAACATTAAAACCCACGATTAAACAAATAAAAAGCAATAAGACAATTGAGCAATTTTTGTCCTATTTTTGGACATTTTTAGCCAAAAATGTCCCCTCTTTTAGTAATATAAGCGTCGACGACGTACAGGAGGCCGTTGCCCTCCATGTACACGGCTAAAAACTCTATAACGACGTCCATGGGGACGATTACCACCACCACCCCCACCTCCCCCACCACCTCCTCTCCCTCCACCACCTCCTCCAACTCTATTAAAATCTCTACGGTTCATTCCTCCACGGAAGGATGTAGTAGACTGCAAAAATTTCTGACCTTCTGGAGCGGGCACAAAATCAACTTGTGAGGGTCGGTGACGTCCAATGGGTTCGCATTCACGTCCGCCTCCAGTTTGACTGCGTGTATAGCCTGGGGCACATCTGTAATAATTTGAATTTTGGACGTTTCGAAAGTTGGGCATTTTGGAATAGAGAGCGGAATTTTGAAAAAACTGGGAACGGGTAACGGGAAATGAAACGGTCGGGACCCGGACCAAGAAAACCGGGATTTACCGATCCCGGTTACTTCCCGGGATCTTCAAAAAAGCCGGGAAAAGGATCGGGAAACGGGAACGGGTCCCTATCCCTTTCCGCTCTCTAGTTTGGAATTGGAAGTTTGAAATCTGGTCATTTTGCAATTTGGACATTATTAAATCTTGAAATATCGAATTTGATTTTTGAAAATTTGTGTATGATGTCAAATCATAATTAGAATTCCATGTTTATTTGGCAATTTTTAAATTAATACTTATATTTAATTAAAAGTATTTATATTTTAATCCTTAAGTAAAAGATTAAAGAAGACCCACTCATCGCAACGAGCTCCCCCATAACCGGGCGGGCAATTTTTGCACTGTACTTCTCCACGTTCATCTAAGAAACATTCTCTATCTCCTCTTTAAATGTTAAAAATTTTTCTAAGAATTTATTTCCTTTAAATTTACGGGCACGGGCAAGGAGTGCAATCAAAGGGCGTTCCACGTGTTGCTACACCGTAATAACCTTTCTTGCAGACTTCACAATGGAAGCTTTCTGTATTGTGTTCACATTGCTATAAAATATTAAGACTCAATCAAATTTTGACATGTCTGACCCATGTGATCTCAAAAAATGGTTTCTGACCAAAATGGTCTCTGACCATTTTGTCTCTGAATGGTCTCTGAAAATGGTTAATGGTCTCCGACTCAAATGGTCCTTGACCCAACACTTTTTACACAATCTAACAGATTTTCGTTATCTGACCCATGTGAGGTCTGACCGAAATGGTCTGTGACCCCAAATATTTCTGACCTAAATAGTCTCTGACCCAAATGAATTTTACCCATTAAATAGTAAAAAATGAACATACAATACAACGACCATAAGAATCACAACCCCTGGGTGAGTGATTGTTGCACTGACAAGGAGGTCGTGCAGGTTGTTCTACAGGCAAGCAATCATGTGGAGTACCTCGACGGGCATCTCCAGTGAAACCTTAAGAAGGGATTTTTGATCGTTTTAAGGGGAAAATATAATTCTGGGTTTTCAGAATTTTTAAAAAAATTTTAGAATTTTTTAAGAATTTTTTCAGAATTTTTAACCTGGCCTGCATCGTTCACAACGGTCTCCCTTTGAAAATAATTTTATTTAAAATCCTTTAAAAATTAATTTATCCACTTCGGTATTGTGTTGACACCCAATACAAGCTCCATATTCTTTATCACATTGGCTTGCATGGCTGTGGCATTCACAGCGTTCACAAACACCCATATAAGAACCACCTTGCGCGCGGAAGTAATTTGGGGCGCAAATCTGGAAATGAATTCAAATTTGACTTTATTAGATGAAGAAAGAAATTAGGGGTTTTAGAAGGTTCCATTGTTTAGTTCCCAACACAACTAACAGACAAATCCTACAAGCCTATCGAACTGAACACTTGCGGATACCTTGTTAAGTATTGCTCTAATTGTAAGCTTAATACGATTCGTATCAAACTATCGTCTAGTCAAACAACCGTCTACTGTAGACCCGTATTTTATCATCAAATCCATATTTCTGAGATTTTTTATAATAATTACAAAACGGTAATTTCTAGCTTTGTTTCAAGTTAATAATCTTTGAAATTTTGTGTTAGTAGAAGATTAAATAATTGCCAGCTACTTTCCTCTACCAAATAATTACAGCCTCTTATCCTACATTTATTAAAATAATTTTTTTTTTAATTTAATCTTTAATTATTCAAATTTTCTATATTAAGTAAAATTTAGTTGAAAAAATATTTTTTTAAATTAAAAAAATACATAGAAGAAATCCCCTCTATCTCTGCGTAAAAAATACAAATTCCAAATTTTTGCGTCACTAAATTCCTTATAAAACTAAAATCTTTTTTAAAAAATATCTAAACCGTCAGAGATTATTTTCTTAAAATAAAGGGTTTAACTGAGTTTAAACAAAAAATTTCATTAAATTAATTCAATCGCCCACTCATTTTTTAAATTTTAAAAAATAAGGGTGAGAGGAAAAATGCGGAAATAAAGGATTAGGGACTCTCCCGTTTACGTAAGAGAAGGTTAAAAATCTGGGGCAGTGTTTTCAAGGCTTGAAAAATTCCTAATTTCAATCAAGCAATCACTTAAATTTTGAAACCTTAAACAAGAATTTTTGCACTAGGGAAAAACACTGATAAAGCACTGACACTGATGAACACTAGTGATGGGCGGGAGTTAAAAAAGCCGAGAGTTGAGACCAAGACTGGGAATCAACCCCAAGAACGAGAACTGGAATCAACCCCAAAACCGAGACCAAGAATCAACCCCGAGACCGGGAATCAAGACCGAGAGTTCAAAAATTTCCCGACTCGGGAACCGCGACCGAGAGTCTCGACCATTACTAATATGCACTGATAAAGTCATACTACTATAGAAAGGCTAAGTTTACTTAACTAGAAGTTCAGCTTTTCGATTTTGCTAAAATCTTTTAATTCCCGATTGCCGTGATATAGGAAGATTTCGAGTTCCTGTTTGTGTTCCGTGTAAAGATTTTGCGAAACCTTTTTCTGCAGAATATTTTGCGTACACCTATTTGCTCGTTATGAAATGCCAAAACAGGACAAAATGTCAATAACAACAAAATGCCAAATTAAATTCCACCAAATACAATAAATATTTAATAAAAACATTTATCCTCTTATTAAAGTGTCAATTCAATTTTTTTCCCATTTTACGTCAGCTAAGAGACCTTAAAACGCGCAAACAGATTTCCTCGGCTATTAAAAACGAGAAAGGATTATTATTATGTAAATTTAATTTTCATTTATTTCACTAAAATCTCTCTCATTTTTCTTTGAAAAAATAAAAAAAAATTTTTTACACTTTTAATTTTTATTAAATAAAATATTTAATATTTTACAGAATTACCTAGACGTCAATTACCCTCCAAATTAAATTAATACCTTTCCTTATTCAAAATAAAAATTTTTTTAATCTTTCAAGCTTAACCCACATAAACTCAACTAACCCTTAATTTATTTTTTCTAACCTCAAATTAAATTTAAAAAATTTTGGACTTTAAGTATACCCTTGAGGGAAAGCTAAGAGTGCCTATTTTATAAATCCCCCAATTACTTGCTGAAAATTCAATGAAGTTTTAATTCACAGTTTAATAGATTAACTTATTTTTTATCAGAGTTTTCATCTTTAACCGAGTGACTTGACTTTTTATTTTTTGGGTATACGGTAATTCAGGCTTATAACAGCAAGTACCTGCCAGTTACCTAAGCTTTCAAATATTTTTTTATAATAATTAAGTAAAGACTCTACAAGTCTTTACTTTTAGTAGCCTTAATTTTACTTTGGATGCTTAATCCCATCTGGCACTTCACTAAAAAATAAACTTACAAAATAGTGTTACGGCTTCAATTAATTTACTTAATTTTTCAGCAATATTTTTAATTTTTCTAGGAAATTTCTCACTAACTTCTTTTTCTTCAAAAAATTATTTTTCTAGAGAATATATTTATTATTAAATTTAATTATTAATATTAAGTAAATTTTATTTTTCAATTTTTAATTTAATTGCGTCTACTACCCTTTTCTCTACTTAATATATATTATTTTTTTATAATTTCCGGATTATTATTTTTTTAATAAATATATTTTATTCATTTTATAAGCTCTTTTCACTTTTTTAAAGCTAATTCTCTCCAAAGCCTCTCTAAAAGCTGTCAAAAAGCTTCTTGGAAATATTCATTTTAATTTCAATAAGGTGCGAAAAATTTTCTTAAATTCGCTGAAATCGCTATCTATCGCATTCTACTTTCTAATTATATTTGTTAGAATGCTAGGATATCTTTAGGTTCATATTCCATATTATATCACTTTTTATAAATATCCCATCCCTGTAGTGTGGCATATAAGTGATTAGGAGCAGAGGTGGATCGGAACAGTCAGCGGTGTCAGAAATGGAAGACCGGAAATCGGAAAAAAGAAAACGTCGGAAATCGGAAATTTGAATTCCGACCCACCTCTGATTGGGAGATATGTGAGTGGAATATATATGTGTCTCTTCAAAGAGAGAAACGTATAGAAATAGTTAGGAAGACCCCTCCCCTCTAATTATCCTGTAATCTCTCACTTATCCCACCTTTGATATATACCAGGTTGGAACCCTAAACTGTGAATACTGGTCTGGGATAAGCTGGAAAGTTTGAGTCATTTACCTCGCATGATGTTCCTTGATAGCCTGGAGGGCATTGGCAGTGCTCAACATCCAAAGCCAGTTCCCCAGTCCCATAAGCATCAGCAGTTTCCATATTAACAGTCAAAAGAGAGGAAGACGCACAATCACTTGTACAGCTTATTTTAACCAAAACAGCTTCTAGATCAGCTAGAGCCATTAGAAAAATTTCTCGGGTTATAGCTTGGCCATCGGGAGATCGGCGCCAACCTGCTTCGGTTAATGGCACCTGGAAAATAAGTTTTAGAGAGATTTAGAGGGTGTGTAACGGAGTGGGCGTTAAGGTGTATTATGGTTACACAAAAAATTGTATAAAATTCATTTTAAAACTTAGAGCTCTGAAATTTTGTAGGATCCTCCTCGATAGAGTTAGCTAACATTTCTGAAAATTTCAGAATTTTTGGTGCATTATTTCAGAAGTTATGGCCGAAAATGTCAAAAATTCTTTAAAAAACGCCTATTTTTCTGATTTTTTCGACCAGAATTTGAAAAATTCTGAACCTAAAATTCTGAAATTTTGTATGGGATTAGATATCACTACTAAGGATATCTATACAAAATTTCATGACTCTAGATAGAAATTTAAAAGACTTATAAGGCTGTGTCTTAGTGTGGTTCTAGCGTCTAGTCAATAGTCCAACTGCCTTTATTCTGATTTTTTCTATTTTTTCTGGGGTTTTCTGATTCAATTTCTACCTCAATGCTATTCACAACATTTGGTTCAACGTGTTGTTGATGTGTATATTCCAATTGAATATTATTTCCTCGTAAAATAACATCGGCATCAGCTCCCCCAAAAGTAGAAATTCCACTCGATGAACTTGTAAAACGAAATGAGTAACGAAATTTGCCTCCATATGAAGTAACTTTGTCTCCAAGAAACTTTTGAGGGAGAGACCAGTAGAGTTGAGTGCCAGTCGGGACGCCATTAAAGTCGTCTAATACAATTGCGCTGTCTGTTATCTGAAATTTTGAATTTGTTGAAAAAACAGAATAAAATCAGAAATTCTGATAGTTTAAGTTTTCAGATATTCTGATTTGAATCAGAAATTCTGATAGGCAAAAAAATGTTTTTCAGAAATTCTGGTTAAAATCAGAATTTCTGATCAATATAGGAATTTTGACAGGATTCAGAATTTCTGATCAGAACCTTTCGTCAAGCAGAATTTCTTAGCAGAATCAGAAATTCTGACATTGATCAGAAAAGTTCTGGTTTAAGGCAGAAATTCTGAAGAGGTAGATTAGATACCAGAATTTAGAATACCGATCAGAAACGAGAGTTGAATTAAGAGACCAGAATTCTGAGCAATTAATCAGAAAAAAATCAGAATTCTGATTGTTAAACTATCAGAATTTCCAAAGCTACAACCAATCCCTTACCAATGGCTGACTGCTTGATTTGAAGGGACTTCTTTGATCAGAACTAACAGCTTCTAATCTATCTTCATCTCCACGGGAATAGTCCAATTCTACTCTTGAGCGACGCCAATGACTGCTTTCGCACACTGCTGTTACTCCGGAACACCAACAACGAAGACAACCTCCTGGATGGTCTTTAGAAATGCTGTAGGATTCGGGGGCGCATCTGTCACATGTTGAACCTTTAGATTTTTAAAAATTATTTCTATATCTTGGAGGCAAAGAAACGCAAGAAAAGGTCCTTTCACACTATAGTGGGTTCGTAAAAAGCATAAAGTGTCTGTGACGTCTTAAGATGCTCCTAAGCACCTTAAAGAGCTCTTAAATACAATTGAAGCATTAATGGTCCTTACACACTAATAGAGCACCTCACCGAGGCCCATAGCCAGAATAAGTCCTGTTATACCTAAAATGTCCTATAAAGGTTCCGTACCAGGACGGGCATGGTGCCCGAAACCTGGCCTTTTCTACCCGGGCCTTCTTCTCAATCAATCAAACCCACCCCTGTTTCCTACCGAGCCTTCTTCTCAATACAGTCCATCCCTGTTCCATACAGCTCTAACATCTCTAAGGTTCTCTAGGTCATTTTATCTTTATTCAATTACCTATAACATTCTGCTTGCACTGACAACGACCGTCCCATTGGGGCTGAGTGCTAAGCGATCCAACTGCCGAACAGACAGGTTGTGAAGGTTGCCTTCTAGGAACACAAGTGCCAAGATAGCGCCCTCCAGGGATTCTCTCATAACCTTCAGCACAATCCTCACAAGACGTTCCGGTATAGCCAGGTGGACATTCACATTGTTCAACTTCTAGGGCACGCTTGTCTTGAGTGTCCTTAGCTACAGCAATTTCCAAACTGGTGTCTCCAATACTAAAAAGATTTTTAAATTTTATTTTTTAATTGTTTCTAATAATTCTATTTCCCAAAATAAAAATTAATTGTATTTGCCATTTTTAAACATTTCTCAACCATTTTAGAAAATACAAAAATTAAATTTAAAAAAAGACACAAAGATAATATTTTTTTAAAAATTTTATTCTTTGTTATTTTGTTAATTAGCAGCCCCCCCCCCAAATTTAATTATTATTTAAATAATATATAATTTTACATTTATAATTAATTTAATAACGGCTCTATAATAGCTATAATCAAAAAAATCTAATAAAGTTGGCAATAAAAAGCATGTTAATTTATTTTATTATTGGATAAGTGTCAGTTAAAGTTGAGTTGACAAATTGGTTAACCGGCACTTAATGATATTGTTCTCGAACAAGTCTGTAAAATGAAAAGGGACTGAGCGAAACTAATGGTATCTCGTCTCCATTATTCTTTCACTATATTCATCAGTCCTCAAAATTCCATGTTCTAAATTAGAGTAGCTCTCCGAGGGGGTTTGGGTCGTAGTTTTGCACTACGGGGGTGAGTGTTGGGGTCGGGGATGAGATCAATGGGAGGGCTTATTCAAGTAATTCTATTATGTCCTTCTTCTGTCGTAGATTGACGTATTATCAAGAATTGACTTTGATTAATATTTAAAACAGCATCGCTTAGAAACATTTTTTTTCGATTAACCATTCAGGAACACAATTTTTTCACAAAAACAATAAACAAAAATTAATCAAAAATTCCACAAAATGTTACACAAAAGGTTACACACAAAATATTCCACGCCATAAATGACGTTATTTTTGCTTAATATAATTCTTTTTATTTTTCAAAAAAAATTTTTTTTCAGTTAAAGTCCACCAAGTCTATTTAATTCATTATTACCCTTTTACGTCTTTTATTTATTTTTTATTTAAATTAACACCTTATTCATCTGTCAGACATTTTTATTTATTTTTTACAAGCTCATTCTTACCTTATTTTCTTATTATTCCCCTATTTTTGTCCTTTTATTTATGCCACTTCATTAATTTGCGCAAGCATAACACTTTTCTCAATTTTTTAACGTCACCAAACCATTTTATTTTTTATTTCACTCTTTTAATCATTTATTTTCTCGTATTTTACTTAATATATATTTTATTTAAATATAGTTAGCTTTACGGAATCGCGTGTTCCTTATAAATTTAAGGTTTTTTCAGTTTCCAAGTTTTATTTGTATTTAAATAAATTTTGAAATAATTTATATTGTGTAAAATCTCGTTAAAAACGAGCCAGCCATTGTCTCGTGATTTTCCCTACAATTTTGGTATTAAATATAATTTTGCTACATTCTTGGCATTTAATTTGTACATTATTTCCAAAAATTTGAATTAAAATGTAGTAGATCCTCTTACATTAGACTTCTTTACAACTAAATTGCGTATCCTTATATGTACCTCATCGAAATAAAACGTCTCCCTAATTTAAGAGGCGCTCTGACTTATCCCTACCATTATTATTTTTCTTTAAAATTAGCAACAGATATACATAAAACCACCATTTATAAGACCAAATTGGTTATAATTGCATAAATGCCTTTTAATTTTCTTCTTGTATCCCTTATAAACTCATACGTCCTTCTTATCCGACAAATCTAAAAATTTATCTCAAGCTTCCAGTTATCCCAACCCTCTCGGATATCCCCAAGCCCCTTCTTATCCCTCAGTGATATCTTCAGATCCCTTCCAAGCTCCCTTATTATCCCTCTCTAATATTGACCTCTTTTTATTCTTACCCTTTTACAACCAATTTCAATTATTTTTCGTAAAATTTTCCATAATCTCTTTTCACAAAAACTCATCTCATTAAAGATTAATTTGTTGACAAAAATAATTTAAAAATATTATGCGTTAATAAAGGTTTAAATTAATTATTTATAACAGGGCTCGGATCGACAAAATGCCAATAAAAAGTACAAAAATCTTGATTTTAAAGTACATAGGGGCAAAATTTCCACATTTAAAGTACACTCAAAATTAAATTAGAAAACATTTATTCGTGCTCAAATCTTTTATATTTCTCTCTTAAATTAATCTTTTCTAATAATTTCTTGTTTCAACTTACCATTTTGTGAATTTCAATGCACTTTTTTGTGGAGCCGAAGGCGCCAAAAAATCTATTTTTTGCGCCGCAGGCGAAAATTTTGAGAATTTTGGAGGTCCTTAAGCCAGATTTCTTCCATTTTTTGCGCCGCAGGCGAAAATTTTGAGAATTTTGGAGGTCCTTAAGCCAGATTTCTTCCATTTTTTGCGCCGCAGGCGAAAATTTTGAGAATTTTGGAGGTCCTTAAGCCAGATTTCTTCCATTTTTTGCGCCGCAGGCGAAAATTTTGAGAATTTTGGAGGTCCTTAAGCCAGATTTCTTCCATTTTTTTCAAAATGTTGATTTTAAAGTACATACTTTCAATAAAGTACAAATTCAATTTCGTAAGTACGGAGGTCGATTTTAAAGTACTGTACTTTCAAATAAAGTACGAATCCGAGCCCTGATTTATAACGAGCTAAAATTGGCGCTAATATTTTTTAAAGATTTTTAAATGTTCATGCATGTATAATTTTTCCCTTAAACTTTTTATTTATCTCTTAAGCTCTCAAATATTTCCCTAGAATATCTAGAAGGCTGAGATAACTGGGAGAGACAAGTTACATATCTCCCACTCCATAGATTCTTCCTCTGAGGTATCCCGAAAGGGGGGATAAGTGGGAGAGTCAATTCAGTTATTTCCCTCATATTCCAGCCTCAGTTATCTCCCTTTAAGGTATCCATCCCTAAAGGTGGGAGAGATTTCCTCCCAAAATCCACTTTTGTCTACTTATATGTACATTTGGTCACAATAATATTTTCCAACATTTTTCGATATTTTTTAAATACATAGGAAAATTAAATTTTTAATATGTTAATTCTCTGTGACGTAAATAAATAAGAGAGCTTTAAAAATATTATTTTAAAAAAGTATCAAACATCGAAAAATTTATTTTTAAAGGCTATTATTCACACAATTGTGAGAATAATTTGTGAGATTTTTTACAAAAATAAATAACAAAAATAAAAAAATTATTTTTGACATTTAAGGAAAAATATTATTTTTGGAGAAAAAAATAAAATTAGAAAAAAAAACCGGAAACGTGAGAGAGAAAGATGAGGAAAATGCTCATGTGTTCTCAGTCTCTACGTATTGGGTGAGGCTACTTAAACCTCCATAACTCAATAGTTTCTGAACCTTTTTGAATAAATTTGGTATCGTTTGATAGAGAATTGAATTTGCTACAAAATGAAATAGAAAATAAAAATCAAAAAATATTTTTAAAAATAGTTGTGGTCGAAAAACAGACAATATTCTCCTCTTTCTTTACAAGGTGCTCAGTCAGTTTTTACGCCATAACTTTTCGTTCAGAAATTAAAAAATTCTAATTTTTGAATATTTTGTACTAGATTCAATTCTCTATCGAATGATACCAAAACTTCGAAGAAGAGTCAAAAACTTCCTGAATTATGCTTCCCAGACATTACTCAACATTCTTAAACGGCTATGCTTTCCTAAAGTTTTTCTTTCCCCTTTTCTCTTAATAAAAATAAAAAATTCGGATTTCTGAATATTTTATAGCAAATCAATTCTCTATCGAACAGCCCTAAACATTTTCCAAAAGATTCCATCTTCAACGAGGTACAAGTCCCAGACTCAATTAACATAATTTTTAAATGAGTCAAACTCCTTATAAATTCCCTTTATTTTTTCTATCTTTCTTAAAATAACCACACCCATTTCCTTCAAAAATTACCCATTTTAACCCTATTTAACAAAAAAATCTTTTTTTGATTTTATTTAACAAAAAAATCTTTTTTTGTTTTAAATTAAATTTATTTTAAATATTTTTTTTTCATGTACATATTTCCCCTCTCTCTTTCCCCCTACTCTCTCTCAATTACGTTATAAAGCTTTAAATGGATTATTTCCAAAAAAAGCTTTTTCAATATGCTCTTTTTTTAGTTTTATTTCTAGTTTCACGCAATACCTCCATTTTTTAATTTATTTTAGCTTTTTGGCATTCATTGGAGGGATCAAAAAGAATTTTTTAATATAAATATTTACACCATTTCCCATGTGTTCTCGTGGCATTTTTATTTTTAAATTTTTTATTTTTATTCATTTTACCTTTTATTTTCTCTTTAAATACAAATTTTATATTTGTTTTCTTGAATTTTATTTATTTTTGTTATTTATTAGCAAATTTATAAGCATTTTTATGAGCATAAACATGTTTACTAGGTCCGCGACAACGCTTGCGCGAACACTCATAAAATAAACAAACAAGCTCCTAGAAGCGTGAAATTTTGCATACTCAGCCAGAAATGTGTTATCTAATAGTTCTGAAAATTTCAGAATTTCTGGTTTAGTATTTCCCAAGTTATGGTCGGAAAAATCATAAAAGTTGACACTTTTCCCACAAAATTCTGATTTTTCGTTCATAAATTCTGAAATATAAAACCAGAAATTCTGAAATTTTCAGAATTGTTAGTTAACACTATTGAGGATATCTGTGGAGAATTTGAAGTCTCTAAGTGCTCATTAGGCTATTCTATAAAGCTACGCGTTGACCAACCTCTTTATTCTCTCAATTACTTACAGTACGCATTTCCGCTAATTTTCCTAATTTTTCTATTCAAAAATTTTTCTTTGTTTTTTTCTCGAATAACATCTAATTTCCTTCATATCCAAGCAAAACACAAAAAACCCCACAAAGAAATAAATTTTTTAAAATAAATTTTAATTTTCTTATTTTTGCAGTTAAAAACACAAATCCAACTAAATTTCTCCTAAAACGCCTCCCAATTAATTTAAAAAAATTAAATAAACTTGAATTCAACAAAATAATGTCCCCACCACTTCTCTCCAACATTTTGGGGTCTAAACGAAGAGGAAAATCTTTTGGAAGTAATATGCTTACAACAGAAACAATGCTAACACCTTATGAATTGGAGCAATTACCTTTAATGTTAAAAGAGCTAGAGAGGGCTAATCGCCATTTTTGGCAAATGGTCTGTTGGAGATTGGCACAGAAGAAAAATGGGAAGGAAAAGCAACAACAATTGAATGTTAAGAAATTACAAAGAGGAGAGACGTTGATGGCTACACCTCCTGAAAGGAGAAGAATGCTGGCTAATAAAGGTAGAGCTAAGAGGATATTGGGAAAGGGATATAAGGGGCTTAGATTTTGCAGAAAGAAGGCTACGGATTATCAATGGGGATTAGGAAAGTGTTGTCTATAATAATAGAAGCTTGGTGTGGGATTCTGTGGTCAATTTCTTTTTGTTCCTCTCATACTACATGTAGGGTGAAGAGAACATAGCAGAAGTTATTTGATTATTTTTTTGTCACGGTTCCCTTTACACTACATATGGTAGGCTGAAGGGAACATATTAGAAATGGAGAGATTCTCTGTATGAGAGGTACTCTCCTTCACTCTAAAAAGATACCTAAGTATAGGAAGATACGCCCACCAAAATCATCTTCTCAAAATCTATTTCTTATTTCAAAATTTTCCAGGAAAAGACGACTCTTTTGCCGATGGATGTGCTCTACGTGAAGTAACTCGTCAACTAATCCAGACCCTATGCTCAGAAGGGGGTTACATCGACACAGATACCGACCAACTTTTAGTAGACTACAAGAGAAGATTAATGTTGGACGACGAAGAATGCACTCCACCCCCAAAAGCGTCTCCTAAAGGGATCGAAAAGCGTCGAGGAGAGTTTGCACTCAAAGGAAGGGCTATCTCCTTCCATGAAAAATTGGAAAATGTAAAAAACATTGGAAATGAAGAGAATAATAATGGAAAGACTGGAAGTATTTCTAGTGGAAGTAGTAGTGGATATTCTTCTGAAGAATTTGTTGCTGCTACTACTACAACTACTACTCATGCAAGTATTGTAGCGGCGAGGCATAGGGCAACTAGTTGGTTGAGACAAAGAGCTAATTCGGTTAGTTTTTTGTGGATATTAATGGGATAGACAATTGGGCTCAACATAAGGTCCCAAGTTTAAATTGTGTTTCCCTTTACTTCTTGTTCCCTTCGCACTACTTATAGGCTGAAGGGAACATACTTGAATAGGTAAGGATAGGTTATTTTGTATATGATGAAGATTAATGGTCAGTGTTGGGTGTTGGACGCTTTTTTGCTCCGACATATTGGCTCTGGCTTTAGCTGGCCCTGGAAGCCATCCCACGAGCCATCCCTCGCCCTGTGCCATCCCTCGTCCTGTTTAGGGTTCCGATAGACATTTGAACCTAATATTGAACTCAGTTCCATACTTTGCCTTAACCTCTTGTATAGTTTGTTCAATGTTTTGGGCATTTGATCCCATTTGACATTTGTTCCCACACCTTTGGTCATTTGAACCCACACCTTTTGAACATTCGATCCCAGCCCTTTTTGAACATTTGATCCCAAAACCAACAAAAATCAAAATTTTTTTCATTTCTAGACACGCAGCCGTTCTTCCCGTCGTTATGTCCATCAAGCCCAACAAACACGAATCTTCCAACTCGGCGAGCTCTTAAATGCCGAATTCCATTCAACAATATTTTCACATCCAGAACAATTTGATGTACACGAAAGAGAGCTTAAAATGTTGGTATGGAACAGATTTAGCCAGTTATTAGTCTCTTTATTATGCGAAAGAATAGATGACGGAAAGGATGAAGACAGTCAACAAAAAAGTAGTAGACGATATCGTTAATTTAAGAAGGAGGAAATGTTTACATAATATATATTAATTAATTAAAAAATATTTAATAGACAAATAATAATCCCCATGGCAACATAATAATTTAAATGTGAAATATGTATTTTGACTTTTTTCTTTTCATAAAAAGATTAAAATTGAAATTTTAGTAAAGCATGTGAGGGTTTGAAGCTGAAAATAAAAAGTTTGATAAGACTTTTTCGGTAGCTAATGGATCCCTTTAGCCTTCTCATAATGTGGAATGAAAGTATAAATCTAAATCCAGTGGTTCCCTCCAGTAATAAAGGAAAGGGAGTAATAAAAGGCAATCATGAGATTAAAGAGAGCTTCGGTATGAGGATATATCAGAGATTGAATCTCTCAAGCTAAAATGGGCAGTAAAAAGATGGGGTTTAGACTTTCAAAGAAATGAACAGAATAAATTAATCATTCGCAATACAAAGCAAACAACAAAAAATTCGAACAATTCCAAATACATCCAATACACATTAACCCTCACAAAAACCTTTCTAACCCAACTACTTTGAAAATTATTTAACGTACTAACTGCAAACAAAATCTCCTTTGTTTCCGTTTTTAAAATTGACGTGCTATTATGTCCCTTTTTAATATCCTTTTTCATAGAAACTTTAGTATTTATTAAATGTAAATTTGCATATGTTGCAGATTGCAAAAAAAGAAATGCCAAAAAGGGAAAATTAAAAAAAGGGAAAACGCAAAAATAAATTTTGGATGCAGAACGCCAGAAAATAAAATTTCCCAAAAATAATTTTTAAATACTCTCCCCCACCTTGTACTTGTTTGACTGTCCGTGTGTGTTGCACGAATCAAAAACAGATCCAAGTCGGCCAGAACCATCATTAAATCCTCACGGCTAGCAGGACCACGTCCATCACGGTGTTCGTAGAATTGCTAAAATTATTAGAGATATTATAGAGATAGGAGTAGAGTTGCAGGAGAATTGAGAACGATATCATAAGAAATCTCGATTCTCAATAACCGAGAGTTTTGTATGAGATCTTAACTCGGTGCTGACCAAACCACTAGAGAACGGACGAGACGTATCCGTTTAAAAATCTCGTTTATCGAGATCGAGACTTTTTGGAGATCTCGATAACCGATTCTCGTACGCCCCCTCCCAGTCCAATCTCTACTAATGTTCCTTTCTTACTACAGGGATTCAACGAAAAATTTATCTATCAAAAGTCAACAAAAAAAAGAAGGGTTTATCCAAACACCATAGTCTTACAAATGGGTAACTTTGAGGTTGGATTTGTGGGATATCGTACATTTCTTGGAATAAATTCCCAATCTGAAATAGAACCGATTTTGAAGGGTAGCTGGAAAATAGAGCCCATGGGGCCATATTTAAGGAAGTGAGAGCTGCTCATAAGTGAGAGAGAAGGTTGATATTGTGAGAGAATACCTAACTAGTATTCCCCCACAAAACGAAAATTTCAAAAAATCACCTCATAAGTCGGCACAGTTACTGTAAATTCTCTCCCTGGAGTAAACACAGATTCTTGGTCTCTGGCACGATGAACCAATGTAATTCCATTTCCCTAAAGTTTAATTTTAATATGTAATTGTGTTAATTATTCACTCTGAGAATAATAAGAGGTTCAGTCCGTCCTGGACCAGGGCCTTCATACAGTAATTTGACTGATAAATCGCCGCCATATGCAGTGACCTGAAAAAAAATTTTTTTTAAATCTTTATTGAAATTTCAATAAAATTTTCAGAAGAAATTTTTAAAAAATTTCAAAAATTTTTCAAAAAATTTTCAAAAAAAAATTTTCGAAAATTTTCAAAAAAATTTTCAAATTTTCAAAATTTTCAAAAAAATTTTTCAAAAAATTTCTGAAAAAATTTCAAAAAATTAAAAAAAAATTTCTAAACAATTTTATAAAAATTTTTCAAAAAATTTTCAAAAATTTTTTTTGAAAATTTTTGAAAATTCAGAAATTTTTCACTTTATTTCCAAGAAATAGTTGTGTCATTTTCCAATAAAGTGTCTGTCCATGATGTGGTTCCTTATGGCCAACAAAATTATAACGTTCATAATCCAGTTGAATGCCTGGAACAGAACGTCCATCTTGATCAGCTAGTTGTAGGGTTTGTCCCTGGGCAGCAAAGAAAAGTTTTTCCTGAAAAAATTAATTTTTTTAATAATTTTATTAAATTGTTGGGTTGAAAAATGAGAGTTTTGTTAATAAGGGTTAAGAAGAGTAAACAGAGTCAGACAACTTATGAGTAGGGGTCGGATTTTAGGTTATAACCTATTTTTTCTGCGAAATAGTTATGATGAATTTAGCTCAAATCCGTTGTTATTTTTCGAATACTTTACGTTTACGCAGACTTATTATCTTGGAGACAAACAATTAATCGACCCGAAACCGAAACTATGGGTCGTAAACTGTGGGTAACCGAAAAACGAGCGTACAGGTTAGTAACGGAAAGTGCTATATAAGTGCCAACCTTAATAACGGGAAGTGCCATATCAAGGGTTAAGAAAATTTTCAAGGGTTTCGCGTTTCGGGTCGAAAAAAGTCCGGATTTACGTTTAGGCTTCGTATTTCGGGGTTCGATTGGAATAACGTCGGGCACCCTACTTATACGTGTATCGTTGAAATAGTAAAGTGAACGTGACCTTCTTGGTCCTGAGTATATAGGGATTTATAGAATAAATCAGAAAGCTCAAGAATGATTAAGCCTGTTGGGTTCAAACAAATGAAAAACACAAAATAAACGATTAGAAAACACAGCAAAACATTTTAGTTAAACAAAACAGGGTCTGACAAGCAGCGTTCTTCCGGTAGTTTAGAAAATCAGTGTTCCAATTTGGGAACTAAAAATTTTGGTTCCGGTTCCTGATACCGGAAGAACACTACTGCCTTGATATTAGTGTTAGTGTCATTAAGCTCTAAGTGTTAATCTAAAAGAAAAAATTTTTTTCAATATTTTATACCAAAGCCAACAAAGTTTTTTTTCAACTTACACATTGAATTTCCTGAAAAATTTTTTTAAAGATTTATAAAAAATTTTAATATTTTAGCAACTTAAAAAAAGCAGAAAACAAAGAAAAACAAAAAATATTAACCAAAGAATGAAAAATAAATAAAGAAAAAATTTTAAGCAAAAATACAATCACGAAAATTCACGTATATTTTCAATGGAGATAATTTCTGATAAGTGTTCCTTTCAGCCTATAAGGTAAGGCGAAAGGAACACACTGACATGAGGCATGTAATGCATAAGAGAAATAGGTATACAGGATTGAAATGAAGTAAAAAAAAGGAGAGGGACCATTCTGGTAGATCTATAAAAACCAGAATCTCGACATATGTCAGAAAATTTGACACATATCAGAAAAATTTTGACATATGTCAGAAAAAATTTTGACATATGTCAGAAAAATTTTGACATATGTCAGAAAAAAATTTTTGACATATGTCACAAAAAATTTTTGGCATATGTCAGTAAAATCAAAATCCTTCTGGCTTAAATCAGAATAAGATTTCTGTCCCTTTCAGCCTATAAGGTAAGGCGAAAGGAACACATATTTTAGATCAGTATAGACACAGAATTTTCTTATTTAAATCAGAAAAAGGGAAGTTCGATCAGAATATTAATTACTATATGAAAGCACTTAAAAACTTAAAGTTCCTACCTTTGTTCTGAAAAGCATACTAGAACGACAACGATCAGTAACTCCAAAACAAAAGCAGCGAAGGCAACCTTGAGGTGCTTGATAAGTTGTTGGACTAGAGCAGGTTCTCTGTTCTGGTTTTGGAGCACGTGATTCTGGAGGGGGTTCTGGTGCTGGTATAGAGACTATACGGACGATACAGTCTGGAGTTGCCAATACTCGGCCTTTGACGTTTATAGCTTCGCAAGTGTAGGCACCTTGGTCTAATGGCCTGAAAATTGGATTATGGAGGTTAAGCACTTTATTTTACCTTCTATTTTATAAATTAAAATAAATGGTAATGTTCTTTATGGACGATAAGAAGTGTGAAAGGAACACGTTACTTCAAAACCTATGCAATGTAAAAGGAACACGTTACTTCCAGACTGTAAGTAGTGTGATTGAACATGTTCCTTTCGGACTAGTGTGAAAGGAACATGAACATGTTCCTTACAGAGTAGATATGTTCCTTCCAGACTACAAGTAGTGTGAAAGGAACCTGACGAATCCCTCTAAACTAGTGTGAATAGCACATTTCCCTTTCAGACTAGTGTGGTGTCCTACAGGCTACAAGTAATACAGAACGAACTTTCCACTATACAAGGTTAAAGAAAGTTAAAAAATTTGACTGACTGAGCATTCTGAACTGTAAGAGTGCCAACACCACCCTCAGAAACTTGCTGGCATCTAGGGGGTTCACAAACATCTTGCCAATTCAAACGCCAATTGATATAAGGATCGGGGACTCCAACAGCTCTACATGTCAATTTAAATTCACCACCCTGTGTTACAACCATATTTGACTGTGGGGGTGCAACAACTGTTGGTTGGACACAGCCTGATAAATTCAATTATTTTTTAAATAAAATTTGAAAGCAAAAAGTCTAAGGGAAGAGACAGGTTTAGGCTAATAATAGGCAGGTTTAGGCTTAGTCTATTCATCATAAAATTGTCAAATTTGACCATAAAAATGTGAAATTTTGTAGAGTTGTCTCTTATAGTGTTAGCTAGCTTTGCTAAAAATCTCAAATTTTTTGGGTGGACATTTCAGAAATTCTGGTCGAAATGTCAAAAATTTTTGTAAAAAGAGTCGGTGAGTAGGGTGAACTCCTGAACGATATCCTCTATTTAAGGAACACCTCGTTATAAGCTACAGTAATTTTAACCCCAATAGTGTACATTATAAAGCGGTTCCGACACAACTAATTAGAGCTCCCTCATACCAATTTCATCGCTTCCATCATGACAATCATTAGTCCCGTCGCAATGAAAACTTGAGGGTACACACTGTCTCCCATCTTTACAACTAAATTCTGTTGCTTGGCACAGATCGCCTGGTTTGCGTTGTTTGCAATTTAATTCATCAGAGCCATCCCCACAATCATCTAGATTTTTTTTAATTTTTAGAAAATTTAAAAAATTTCTACCATCTCCATCACATAGCCACATTTTTTGGACACATTTTTCATTGTTACATTTAAATTCGTTTGGCTCACAGTGCCGTTTGGAAGGGCAATTCTATATTAAGTTTGAGAGATTTTTGTAATTATAAGGGGAGGTTTAGAGGATTAATAGAAGAAAAGTAGTCATTAACTAAGAGCCATACACACACCATAAATAGGGTGAAAGGGACAATGATTATTTTCAAAAATAAGGTCTCTCCCACAAGGTCTCTCCCATAAAAATATTAGGAATTTGCGTGCCGACGAATCCTACTTCAATTTAACTTCGGGCCATTTAAAGTAAACTTTACTACATGTACCCTACACACTACAAGTAAGGTGAAAGGAACATAGGGCTAAAGTCTAGAAAGAATATCAGATAAGGCTTAAGCCTTTTTAATACCAGGCTCTTAATACCAGGAATTTGACTGTCATTCCTTTCCAACGGCAAAATAATGTGTAAGGACCTAACTACAAAGAAAGGTCAGATAAGGCTCAAGAATATCAGATAAGGCTGTTCTAGTTTAAACAGTACCAATTCATCGGAGCCATCCCTGCAATCCCTTTCTCCATCACAAACATATTCCATCTTCACACATTCATTGCCTCCACAAGCACGTTCATTAGCACTACAAGTAACTGGTTGACTTGGTGGATTGTTGTCTGTTTGGAATTCTTGAGGTCCAACTAAATAATTAATGTATATCTCTCGTTAACACCAATATTCAATATTCGTTTGGTACAACCGAGATTAATTAGAATTTTTGGAGGGGGAAAATGGAAGGCTATAAGAAAGGCTTAAAGGAGGCAAGGCTTCAGTTCTATCAACCTAATTTAAAAAATCCCTCTTACATGATTGAACTTGTAATTGTGCAAAAGCTTCAACACTCCTTCCTTTATGCATTGCCAAACAAATATATCGGCCAGAATGGGCCAATTTTGAATTAGAAAATACAAGTCTTCCTCCACTCTCATAAACTCCATCAGGTAGTCTCCCACCTACACGAGTCCACCTTACTTCTGGGTAAATGCTATTGTCTGTGGCACGAGCTCTACAGTCAAAACTGGCCTCTCGACCTTCTTGAACGGTCAATTCGGCTGGGTAGACGGTGATTTGGATTTCTGAAAATTAAAAAAAAATGTCCCTCTCTTCTTTAACAAGAGAAGAAACAAGCTTAAGTAACGTCTGCGCGATCACCTATAAAACAGTCAAAAATGAATCTAAAATCATAAAATTTTGCAAGTACCTCTCCAATTGTGTTACCTATCTTCTCTCAAAATTTCAGAATTTTTCATTCAGAATTTCCCAAGTTCTGGTCGAAGAAATCAGAAAAATTGGCATTTTAAAGGAAATTTAGACATTTTTGGCCATAACTCAGAGAAATTTGAATCAAAGATTCTGAAATTTTTAAGAGCCCTAGTTAAGATTGTTTTTTATATCTCTGCAAAATTTTACAACTTTAGCTTTGTGTTTGACTATTTTATAGGCAAGCGCCCAATCGTCACTCTCCCTATAAATACTAATGTAACGACAGCTTTCCTAAGGGTAAAATAATCAAATAAAAATATTAAAATTTAAAATTAATTAATAGATGGTCTATTAATTTATTTTTCAATTAAAAAATTTTTAGAAATTTTTTTCGATCCGAAAAATTTTTTTTTCAACTCAAAGAAATTTTTTTCGGCTCAAAATTTTATTTATTAACCTTCATTTTCTGATCTGCGTCTTAATGCATTTGTTGGGGTTAAATTAATTAAATTTAAAAGTATCAGAATAAAAATAAAAATATTATTTTTGAAGTTTTTAAAGGGTAAAGTGGTTATTAAAGGGTTAATAATAATTTTGTTGATTTTCTTTCTGTGCCCATTATTTTTAAATTTGCGGTGCTCGCGCATTATTTAGGCGGGCTTATACCGACTTTTCTCTATTTAAATTAAAATTTTAAATTGGAATAAAATTAATAAACTTGAGAAAATAAGGTTGGAAAAATAAATTTGGAGAAAATGTTGGTAATTTGAAATAATAGGAAAAAAAGCCTTTCGGGACATCTCGCAGAATTTACTATTCACATTCCAGATCTGCAGACTCGGAATAAAAATAAGAAACTAATTTTATAATTTAGACATAATTATTTTTTCCTTAATTCAAGTAAGCATTTATCCAATAGATCCTGTTAGAAAGGTGTTAAAAATTTTATTTGCGGAGTGACGTTGCGGAACTAGACGGAAATTTCTATATCTTAAGATATGTGGATTCTAAATTATAACAAAATATTCAAGGATAATAAACTTAGATAAGCTTCCAGAAAGATCTCTGAACTATCCCTAATTTGATCCCCGAGTATGATCCAAGCCTTCAGACCCTACCTAATTAAATATGCCCAAGTTTTATCCCAAATTTCTGTCCACAAGGGACATGCCCTTAACCTTTCATTTATTTTTAAAATCAAATTTAGAGGAAATATCTCAAATTAATTTTTTATTTTTAAAAATCAGATCAGTAAAAATAAGAAAATAATAATGTTGAGAAAATAAATAAATAATTATGGTGGGAAATTCAAGGCCATTAAACGGAGAGAGGTGTAGATAGTTAAAGGTTTTAAACGATTACTTGGAGAGATTTGTCGAGAAAAAAATTTTTTTGTTTGTTAAAAGGAATTAAAAGAAAAGTTTAAATGAGTCATGAAAACAAAATTTCTCACTCATTATTTTACACCTTTTGTTTTTTTAATGTTAAAATGAGGTAGGTGGTTGGGAGGGAATTGAATTATATTTGTAAATGGATTAGAAAAGTGAGTAAAAAATTAAATTTTTTAAATTTTTAAAATTTTTAGAGAAATGACGTAAATTTCAGAATTTTTCAGGAATTTAAAATATTTCAATTTCAAAATTTATTTAAAAATCGAAAAAAATTTTTTCAGGATCTAAGAAACATGCCTTAACCTAACGGTGTAGGTTGCGATTAGTATAACGTCTATTTGAAAGCTCATAAACTAGTGTTATGGCTACCTAAGATCATGAAATTTTAGAATATGATCTGAAATATTGCGAGGGTCTTGTGTGGAGTACTTAGTTAACTGCAAAAAATATTTTTTAATTTTCAAAATTTTAAAAAACTTGAAGAACCTAAAGGTGTAGATTGCGACCGCTGACGCTTATTTGAAATCTCCTAAACTAGTCCTATGAATACATAAAATCATGAAATTTTGGAATATGGTCTACAATAGTGTCAATGACTTTACCAAAATTTTTATAATTTTAGGTTCAGTAATTGGTAAAATACACAAAAAATTCAAAACGAGGATCCTACGAAATGAAGCTTTTGCACAAGTAATGCTTAAATAAATGTCCATAATACCGTCAGAAAAGGCTCTAAAATCATGAAATTTTGGAATAATATCCTTAAAAAGTTGTTTAGTTGGAACAAAAATTTTAGATTTTTTAGATCATTATTAGAAAAATTTTGGTCGAAAAATTCTAAAAATGGGCATGCTTTAGATTAAAATTTTGACTTTTCAGCCATAAATTCTGAAATATTGAAACTAAAATTCTGAAATTTTTAGTAGAGTTGGTTAAGACTACTAGACATGTTCGTACAAAATCTTGCTTCAATGGGAGCTAAATTAGCGATCTTATAAAATTAATTTAAGTGACAAGTCTAAGGTAAATTTTAATGTGATTATGGGGACTTTATGAGGAAAATAATTTTTTTTAATTAAAAATTTTTCGATTTAAAAATATTTTTTAATTAATATTTTTGTTAATATTGATATTTAAATTAACTTTAATAAATAATAAATATTTGTTTTGTCAACAAAAATATTCTTACCACCCGCGCAAATAATTATCATTTATTTATAATTTTCTGTTTAGGTCAACTAGTCTATCTTCGATTTTGGTGAGAGAATGGATAAATGAATATAATTAAGGCATTGACTGACCTATACTTTGAGAAATAAATAATTGGTTAAGATAAATGGAAGGGTAGAAAAAGTGGGGAGAGATTTATTGGAATTAATTTTAAGGAGGATAGCTGAAAAAAATTTAATGATTATTGATAAATTTAGATATATTTATAATGAAAAAGGTAATAATCTCATGTCAGTCTTGAATGATTATCTCTGATAAAATTTCAAAGTACTGAGAAGGTAACAGGTTACACTAGTTCTGCAATGCCTTAAAAAGCAAGTTATGGTTCTCTGACTTTGCTGATAACGGCTAACGTCACTAATGCACTTTACAATATATCCCTTGGAGATCTATATAAAGACGGGAGAGGGGGAGGTTACTCGAAGTAATCGGGGCTTTTTTGATCCAGAACCCGAACCCCCGATCTGAAGAATAGAAAACCTTTATCGACATATCTCAGCTGGAATTGCAAAATATTGCGAATAAACTAAATTAAACAAAAAAATCAGAATAAGACATCCTTATCTTAGAGGACCCAAGAATCTTTGCGTCATTTAATAAATATCAATTCTATCATAACATCTAAAATCATTACCCCCCCCCATCCCCCTCCTCTCTATAAAATCATTAAAAATCGCCTTAAAAGTACGTTTCCTCCCAATGATCCAATTAATTGAATGATCACAAAATGTTGCGATATTATATGTATACATTTTCCAATTACTATTCAATTGCTTAAAATATCCCCTCTTATATTTAACTAAAAAATTTTGGTTAAAGAAGGTGGTTGCAGTAAACTAAACTAAAAATCACGCATCATTCAACATTTAATGTAAAACAAATCGAATAGAAGAATTGTTTAGAAGGACAATATTTTGGAGGAAAACAAAGAAAAGAATTTGCGATTTGTAGGGGGGAAAGGAATGAAAAAAATTTTTGAAAAAAAAATTTTTTTTTTCGAAAAAAAATTCTGGGGGGAAATGTTGGAGGGAGCGATTAGACAGACACGATTGCGCTTGCATTTTAATTCATAAAATGATCATATGAGCTCCTAAAATCGTAAAATTTTGCAATTATAGCCTCAATAGTATTAGCTAAATTCTCTAAAAATTTCAGAATTTTAGGTTTCGTATTTCAGAAGTTCTGGTCAAAAATTTCAGAATTTTTGAATAAAATGTATATTTTTGTTAGTTTTTTGGCTATAACGTGAGAAATAATAAACCAAAAATTATGAAAATTTTTAGAGGAGTTAATCAACATATTTGGGAATATAACTGCAAAATTTTATGAATTTAGGTGCTAAATTGGCCGATTTATAAGCAAAAGCCCAACTGTTATTTTACTAAAATACACCCTAAAAAAAGAAAAAATTCTAAAATTAGAGAGAATATGTTTTCAATTAAATATAAAAAATGGCAAATTTAATTGACAGAAACTTCAAAAGAAAAGAATCAAGAAAAAAACAAATTAAATAAAAATAAATATGGGGGATGTGAACATTCCTCCAATAAATTTTCTTTAATCGATCTAGACAAATTAATCGGATAAATAGTAAATAGGATATTATAGCTGATTATAGAATTAACAGAAAATTTTTATAAGAATATAAATCATGCAATAGATGCAAGCTTATCCATAATTTAATTATATACATTATTATTAGGTAATTGTTCTCCTACAAATAAATAAATGTCTACAAAGCCAATGAAATCACTCGCAACTTTCCAAATAATACTGATAATATTAATAAAAATCCATGAAATAAATAAACTTTCCGGAAATTAATAGCTATAGTCTTTCCGGAAATATACTAATTTGTATAAGTATTATAATATAAATTCCGGAAAATATTTTCTACTAAAAAAACTTTCCGGAATCCATAGTTTAAATAAAAAGTTAAGCAAAAAATCCGGAAATATAAATTTTCCGGAAAATATTCTATACTAACGGTAGAATTTCGGAAAGTTTCCGGACAATATTAGAGTTATACAATGAAAAAAATTAAATAAAAATATAAACTTTCCGGAAAAATAATAAATTAATTAAACTTTCCGGAAAATAATAAACTATTTAAACTTTCCGGAAAATAATAAATTAATTAAACTTTCCGGAAAATAATAAATTAATTAAACTTTCCGGAAAATAATAAACTATTTAAACTTTCCGGAAAATAATAAACTATTTAAACTTTCCGGAAAATAATAAATTAATTAAACTTTCCGGAAAATAATAAACTATTTAAACTTTCCGGAAAATAATAAACTATTTAAACTTTCCGGAAAAATAATTCTTTAAAAATAGGTATTATATTCTATAATTCACCATATTAGTAGAAAATCAAAAATAAATACTTTAAATAATAAAAAATTAATTTTCTGCGTTAATTCGAGGCCATTCATTGCTTAATTAAACAAAAAAAGGGTCAATCAGTCTCACACTCTCCCTATCGTGTCAATTTCAGTTCCTCTAATTAATAGTGTGTTTAAACATTGTAAAAACCGCAAGAGAAGGAAAATAATAGAAAAAGAGAGTCTAAAATTGTAGATACGTTACAAATTATTTTTAAAAATATTGTTTAATCAAGTGAAATTAAATGTATTTAGTAAAAACAAGTCAAATTTTGTACTAAATATTTGAAATAAATATTTAAAATAAAGATTTGATTGTCTTATAAGGGGAAGATATACATAATAGTAAGCTATTTGAATAACAGAGCCCTCCGCATTATAATAAAAAATAAAAAAGTTAATACATAATATATGAAAATATTATTAGATCGTGGCATAGAATTTTGGCTCGAAAAAGACTCGATAAAAATGAATATGGAAGCGAATAAATTTTTTAAAAAGATCAGAACTCTCTGAATACCTAACCAAATATTCTCAAATTTTGTGAAATATTAGAAAACACTCTAAAGAATATAGTATATCCAAAACTTCAAAGCTCCTAAACAAATAGAAAAATTAAATTTTGCAATAAAAACTCTTCTATGAACCAAACTAGTAATAAAAACTTTTCCGGAAATTATAGAAAGAATAGTTTCCGGAAACTTTAATAACAATAAATGATAATTTCCGGAAGGAATAACAACTGAAATTAAAATATTTCCAGAAATATAATTCGTAAATATAATATATACAATTTCCGGAAATTTAAACTTTCTGGAAAATAAAAAATAGGTTGCTTTATATGTATAACTTCAGGATAATTAATATAGTTTCCGGAAATGAATAATAATTTATTATACTATGAATATAATATTAATTAATAAATAAGTATTTTTTAATACAATTTAATAAGAAATTTAAGAAAAATAAAAATTATGCACTTGTGCTCTAGAAAAAAAATTCTTTTTTCATGCAAGTAAAAAAAAATATTTTTTCGCAACTTTAATTAATTATATTTTAATTTTATTTGTATAAATGCGCATAAATTGCACACAACTTAATTAATCTAATTTTTATTTTGGAGTAAAAAAACAAATTGATTTGCTTAAAAAGTTAACAAGAATGTAGTTAAAACGGGAAAATTGTTTTTGATTTTGTTTTATAAATACCGCAAAGTCAGTTGTTTCAAATAAATTTAGGTGGAAAAAATAAAACTTGGAATACTCAAGAAAGTGTGTATTTAATTAATTGCTATAAAGAATGAACTGAATTTTAAAGGGAATTAGCGATAGACTTTTCCGGTTGATAGAAAAAAACATTCCGGAAGTTATATATTTTATATTTCCGGAAAATATATATTATTTATTACATTCCGGAAAATACTTAAAACTTTCCGGAAAGAATATTTACAACATTCCGGAAAGGTAATATAATTTATATTTCCGGAAAGAATAATAGAATTCATAACTTTCCGGAAAATATACATAGATACAATCCGGAAAATATAAATTAAATAATGTTGAATTTATACATAATCTTTCCGGAATCTATAACAAACTTAACGTGTAATATAATAATGGTAATAAGCTTTCCGGAAACATAAATATACTTATAAATTAAACCAATAGAGAAACGTTCCGGAAGAAATTAAAACTTAAAATAACGTATAGCTCAAAATATAGTAAATTTTGGATGCTAACAAAAATTAATAAAAAAAAATATATAATAGGTAAGTAAATTAAAATAATAAATAAAAAACGTCAATTAAATTATCAAAAAAAATTTGAAGAAATTAAAAATAAAAGTATTTAACAGCTGAAACAATTTTTTAAAAAGAAATTGGGGACTGCGGTCAACTTTTTCTCTTCTAAAAACTGTTAATTTTAAACAAACACCCAATATCATTGATGACAACATTTTTCTCGACAATTACAAAGTTTGTGGGACCACCTTCCAGTTTTTGTTGCCACCTCTCTTGCGCATCCTCCCACCCCCTTAGGAAGAGACTGACGCTTTCTCTCTCTCATTTCCTCGCCACACAGAGCGAAAAAAGACATTCTCTCATTGAATTATAGCGGTTTGACACCATCACTTATTAGGGGGAGAATAAGGAAAATTACCAAAACGGGACGAGGGGAAGAAGGAGAAGTAATGCTGCAGCAAATGGACACAAAAACACTGAAACTTGTTTTTGTAGCTCGCTATAAACAAAAAATCAAAACAGAATTTGTAACAACTTTTCTCATCTATAAAATATTTTCTTCATCTCTCTATCAATCGACTAATTCGCCATTATTTGCCGATGATTCTCACACATCTCTATATATCCAACAGACAAGAGGATCTTCCCAAGAGATCGACAAGAGGAGGATTATCAGTAAACAACCAAAAAAGGGATAGATTTTAAAATTAACGACAAGATTTATAAGATCCTTAAAAGGAGATTAGCCTAGAAAACCCCTTAAAATCCTAAATAACTCAGAGAAAGAAGCTAACAAACGATTTGTGCCACAACGGAGACTAGGTCAAATTTTGGATTAAATTGAAGAATCAAAGCAGGGATGAGATGGGTTACTTGATATCGAAAATCCAGACGTTTTTCGACGTCAAACACAATCTAAAGAGATTTTTGAAATCACCTCGACCTGAAAAGCGACCGGAACTTTTAACAGCCCGATCGACATTTGGATGATAAAACCATGCATCTCTAGACTACGTTCTAGCATTATCCAAAACTTTGGGTCATGTCCTATTCAAATGGTACTTCTATCTCGGTTTAACCTGACCGTAACTTGGACGGATTCCAGTCCGATCAATGTTGTTAAAAATTTATTTTTGATTTTTTGGTATGACTTCATTTTAACTACATTTTCCAGTCTCCCTCCAATTCTCTCTATTTTTCACGTACAAATTTCTTTCCATTATTTAAACTCAATGAATCGAAAAGAAAAAAGGAAGGGAAAATTAGCGGGAAAATAAAAATAAAAATAAAATTGGTTGAAGAATTTAAAATAAATACTTTTTAATTGCAAATGATTGAGACGTAATGGTTTAAAACGGAAATTAAAATAAAAGAGAGGGGGGGGGGTGTCTGAATTTCAAGTTTTTAAAAAATTTTTGAACACACTGAGCGCGCTAATTTTGTACGAGAGCAGCTGATTTAATTTTGCCAGAGGGCATTGGGGCAATTTTCAGTGAAATATTTTGGGAGATGCTAGACAATAGAGAAAGTTCTTTCCAGGAAGGAAATCCGGAAAATATAAATACTTCCTGAATGTTTTAAATACATATTTCCGGAATGATTTTATTAATTAGTTTATTTAGATTATAGTTTCCGGAAGGTTATATATTTCCGGAATATTTTTTATGTTTCCATAGTCTCTTTATATTACTTATAGCTATAAGTTTCCGGAAAGTTTTCTTGAATGGTTATACTTTCCGGAATGATTTTATTAATTTTTCCGGAAAAAAGGCTATAGTTTCCGGAAAGTTTATTAATTCATCTATTTAGACAATAGTTTCCGGTAAGTTTATATATTTCCGGAATTTTTTATTTTTCCAGAATCTCTTTATATTACTTATACGTATAAGTTTCCGGAAAGTTTTATAGTTCCGGAAACACTATATTACCTAGGCCTATATATTAACTTCAGGAAATCTTTTAAAAGGAAATGGAAAATAATGAAAAATAAATAGGAAACGCCCAAAATATTTTTTGTAATTTTTTAAATTTAATAGACCCAATAATAAAGTACATAAAACATCCATTTATATTTTTAACGGAATAAAAACATTAAACATATTTGGCCATTCAAGCGAGGAAAAGCAGATTTTTGGATAATTAACTAAGAAAAAATTTTTTAAGAGGCGTGAAGGCGGAAAAAATCAAATGAGAAAAAAAGTACATACATAGTAGATAACTAAATCTTATAAAAATGGATTAGAAATAAAGTCTGATAAAAACGATTTTTTACTATAATTTCCTTATTTTCCGGACACTAACATCCGAAAATTTTTAATAAAATTAAATTTGATCTGACTATACGAAAATAAAAACAAAAAATAAATATTATGGGGAATAAATAAAAGATATTTTTTAAATCAGTTTGAGGGGGAAGATTTATAAAATAATAAAAAAATATATCTGGAACAGCAAAGGTTTATTAGCAGCCGCATTTGTGCTAAACACCTGCTATGCTTGCAAATGGAGAGAAAAAATATTTTTAAAAATTTAAAAAAGAATTATATATTTCAAGAAAATAACGTTCAGATTAAATATAAAAATAAAAAAAATTAAAAAAATCCAAGGAAAAATTCAAGGATGTTGATTAAATATTAGTGTAATAAATATTGTCTGGGAATGCTATTTTTCCGGCTAAAAATTTTTTAAACTAAAATTATACACTAGTAGAGAATAACTTTTTATAAAAATTAAAAGAAATACATAGTATTGAAAAATAAGAGACGAAAAAACTTTTATAGTTGTGGAATATAAAAATATGCATCCGAAATGTATCCGGAAAATATGCTCGAATAATAATCAAGTTTATTTTAAAGTTTATCTTTTACTTATAGTTATTTTTAATAATTAAAGTTTAATTTATCTATTTCAAGTTTATTAAATTCAAGTTTATTTTTATGTTTCAGAGTTATTTTCAAGTTTAATTTTATAATCAAAGTTTAATTATTATATTTCAAGTTTTAGAAAACGTTTCTCTATTTCAAGTTTATTTTTATATTTTATAGCTATATTTAAGTTTAATTAGTCTTTATAGTTATTTTCAAGTTTAATTATTATATTTAAAGTTTATTTTTAGAAATTCAAGTTTATTTTTATATTTTAATACAAGCAAAACTTTAAGGGTTATCTTTACCCTAGTAAATAACAAATAAAAACTCACCCGGTACTTCTTCCGATACAGGACAGTTTTTCTCATCATCACCATTAGGACAGTCAGAACGTCCATTACATATATATGCCCTTTCAATACATCTATCCGTGTCTGGGCATAAAAATCCTCCTCTACGCCTACAATCTTCAATTCTACGATTTTTCTCCTAATTTTTATTTTAAAATTAATTTTAAAAATTTTCCAAATTAATTTACTTGCTCTGCCCTCTGACGCTGTATTTGTGCTTGATGTTCTTCTAATCGTTTCCGCTCATCTTCTTGTTCCTGCCTTCGTTTTTGCTCGTCTTCTTGTTCTTTCCTTCGTCTTCGCTCTTCTTCTTCTTTTCTTCGTCTCTCCTCAGCTTCTCGAAAATAACCTTTAATTAAACATTTTATCCAACTTGGAAGTAAAATGAAAATAAGTTGCAAGTTTATATTTCAAGTTTGTTAATGTTTCTCCAAGTTTATTTTTATATTCCACATTTATTTTTAAGTTTATTTTATTTTAACTTCAAATTTCTTTTTATATTTCATAGTTATTTTTATATTCCAAGTTTATTTTTATATTCCAAGTTTATTTTTATATTCCAAGTTTATTTTTATATTCCAAGTTTATTTTTATATTCCAAGTTTATTTTTATATTTCAAGTTTATTTTTATATTTCATAGTTATTTTTTATAGCATTTAAAGTTTATTTTTAATTCTAGAGTTATATCCGTAATTTCAAGTTTATTTTTGTAACTATTTCAGTTTCTTTTATAACTTATAGTTATTTTCTTTCTGCATAGTTATTTTTATAGTATTTCATGTTTATTTTATTTCGATAATATTCTACCTAATAAATTATAGCATGTTTAGAAATATTATGAACTTACTACATTCCATTTCATCCGACCCATCTTCACAGTCATATTTTTGGTCACAATGACTAGAAGCTGGGATACAACCACCTTCACGACAGTGGAATTCACCTGGAGCACACTGAAAAGAGCAATTAAAATTTTTTATAAAAAATTTTAATTTTTTTTTCCATATTTAATGAAAAATAAGGCCTAGATTTTAAGAATCTTTGGGTATCCTTTGCACCTTTTCTACAGTAACTGTAGAATAATTAAACAGAAATTCTGTGTTTAGTGTTTCTTACACAAGTTTATTTTTGTATTTCAAGTTTATTTTTTATATTTCAAGTTTATTTTTATAATTTAAAGTTTATTTTCATGACATTCCAAATTTATTTTTATGTTATATTTCCCTTAAATTAACATACATAGCCATTTATCACATTTTCCGGACGTATTGTAATTACTTTCTCTTCATCCCTGCTTTCACCACCACCATTTCTACAATTGCTTTCATCAAACCCATCCCCACAGTCATCCTTATTATCACATATTGAGTTGTAATGAATACAACGATTCGGAGCTGTCTCAGGGCACCGGACTTCTTCAGGCCCACACTTCCCTTCATTTTCTTTTTTTAATTTTTCTTCTTCTTCTATTTTAAGTAGCCTAGCTTTTTCTCGCATTTGTGAGTTTATAAAATAATCTGAAAGAAATTTTTAAAAGTTTTGAATGATTAATTTTTGGTGACTGCCCATCCCTGTTAGTAGTGATGTTCGAGACTCTCGGTCTCATTCTTGGGGTCGATTCGCGGTCTCGGTCTTGACTCTTGGCTTTTTTAACTCCCGAACATCACTACCTGTTAGAGGCCCTTCCGCCTTTTTAGTCGTTCTGCTTCGCATAGCGTTTGGTGTTCTATAAAATCCTGCAGGACCCAAGGACCCATCCCTGACTAATACCCCTCATTATAAGATAAGATCCTTCAGCTCTGGTGATGCATGGATCACTAACATGGTTGCACGCAATGGGGAATTGCGGACTGCGTGAATTGGTGGGTTTTTCGCCTGCGGACTGCGGCTGCGCATTTTAAAATGAAAATTGCGGACTAAGGACCATTGTGAGATGTAAAAATATTCTCAAACATACCACAAGTTAACTCGTCTGACCCATCCGTACAATCATATTTATGATCACAAACAAGTTTGTTATCTATGCAAGCCTTAGTTTTGCGGCACATGAATGAGTTTGAATCGCAAGATTGTCGTTTTTGTTGGAGCTTTATTTCTGAAGGTTTTGAAGCAGAGAAGGATTGAACTGAGTGTTTCTCATTTCCTGAAAAATTTTCTTTGATTTTCCAAAGTTAGTCTAGTTAGACTTTTTCTTATATGTCAGGGAATCCCACTTATTTAGATGTAAACTAGATGTACCTAGGTAAAATTGCAATCCTGGGAGCCCGTAACGGTGCTGGCTTATAATTTTGAACTAGAAGGGATTTTACTTGAATTGATAATCGAAATCCGGTCAATCCAGACACTTGCAAGAACTATGCTTTTAGGGCGAAAAACCAATATTCTTTTACGATTTTCCATTTTTTTCCTGAGGTGTATGGAATTCATATTCAGTACTGGGTAAGGCTCCGGTAGCTCCGGAGCCGGAGCCTGTGCTATGATTTTATAAGCCAGGAGCCGGAGCCAACAGATGCTCAATACCCAGCAGTGTTCCTATTCTCCGCCTACTTGTTTCGAATGTTTATTATTTCCAAATTTTCTAATTTTCGGAATTTTTTTAATTTTCGATTTCCAATGCCTCCCGGCTATCCTTCCTTCCCCTACAATATTCTCTTGAAAAAATTTTTTTTCTCAAAAAATAAATACAAAAATTCATTCTTTTATTACTCAACAAAGGTTACCCCCTTCCCAAAGAAAATTATTTTTCTAAAAAAAAATTTTTTTCCTTTATTCATCCCTTCCATTTTAGTTGAATTGATCGTCAAAAATATTTATTTCTCCCCAATCGATCCCCCTTCGCCCTCCCCCCCCCCCCCCCCCCAAAAATATTTCCTTTCTTTACAAACAGAAAAATAGAAAATTGTTTTTGGAGAGCACCGCCGGGGAAATATCGCAAAATTACATCAAAAAGTTTTCGCGCATACCAAAAATCTAATTTTCCTTCCCCCAATCCGTTGACATTTAAAATGGTCATTGTCCACCTATTTTCACCAATTCTCACTCCTTTTTCTATTCAAAAAAAAATTTTTTTTTATTTTATTTGATCAAATTTGTATCATTTTAATATTAAATGTTTGGTTGTTTGCCTTTAATAATTTTTAATAAAATATTTTTTAATAAAATGAAAGAATAAAACATCTAACTAACATTTTTTAATCAAAAAATTTTTGCGAATAATTTTTATAAAATTCAATTATTTATTTTTTCTCTCATTTCTTAATGTAATTTTTGAGTCAAAAATTTTTGAATCAAAAAATTAAATATTAGATAAAATCCAGATTAAATTCAGACCAAAAACTATCAAAATATCCTCTTGTAAAATCTCCTAATATTCAGAATCGAACTAGAAATCCATGGTTTTTCGGTCCATATCAGGGATGGGTCGGGTTACCCGAAACCCGAGAGCCGAAACCCGGTCTTTTTTTTCGACCCGACTCGATCGAAGAAAATTTTGAAAATCAAACTAAAAATCCATGGTTCTTCGGTCCATACTCCTTCGTGAGTTTTAGTTTGAGAGGGGGGGGGGGTCATAAAATCTCTAAAATTTAATTATTTTTACTCACAATGCTATTTTAAATTTAAAAAATTAAAAATAAATATAAGGCCAAAAATAAAATATGCACCTATTAATGGTCAAAAAATTAAAAAAATAAATTTTAAGATCAAAATAAATATTTTTATTACGAATTAAAAATAATTTTTGGCAGAAAGTATCGTGACGGCATTTTTATAAACTAAAATGACCCATCGTTATAAGAACGGATTAAACAACAAAATTGAACAAGAACAACAAAATTCAATTAAACAACATCCCCCTAACCCATCGAACCCCCTAAATCATTCAATTCCTCCCCACAAATCAACCTCCCCTCTATTCAATTACCCTCCCCTTCCAAAATGGGAAATGAGATTATGTTGGCTAATAAGCTTCGGAACGGTCGCTTATGCTTGGTTCTGTGTTTGGCAAGCCAGTTCAAAATGGGAATTTAAAATAGGCAGATCACAAGCTTCAATCAGCAATTTACCCTTTTTCGGGATGAAAATAAAAGACGAATCTAATTGGGAGTGGTTTAGATGGAGCCCTTTCGCTACTAGCCAATATTTGCCTCTACTTGTTGGACATTCTATTTTGTTCAATTTTCTTCCGGTTTTCTTTCAGGAAAGAATTTGGAATAAAATTTATTTGATCCTGTCGATGGCTGGGTCTGCGTGGGTGTTTACTCCGAGATTGCTACTTGCGTCGCTTATGCAGGGCTTTCTTATCTTGGGGTTTACTCTTTATTTCAGGTATGGTTAATTAAATACAGTAGAAATTTTTACAGTAACCTAAAAATAATAAAATTGAATTTAATTAATAAATAATCAAATTGTGACAAAATGGCTAATTTTAGTCTAAGTGATGATTTGGTTAATTGATCAAACATAAATAAACTTAGAACTTGAATTAAAACTTGAACTAAAACTTGAATTAAAACTTGAATTAAAACTTTAATTACAACTTGAATTAAAACTTGAATTACAACTTGAATTAAAACTTGAATTAAAACTTTAAAAGCATAAAACACAAAACAAACACAAAAATACAAATAAACTTGTTCAGAAACATTAATTAACTAACAACATTTACAGACGAACATTTGTTGTTTGGCTTAGTGCTTTACCTATATTGTATGTTGTAATGAACCATACTGATTGGATTCACAACGATGTTTTTCTTGTTTTGTTGTTCATTTCATATACACTACTCTCTTATATTTCTTTTTGTTTGGAGTTGGTAAAACATTTGGAGGGGGAACAAGAAGGAAAACAAGTTGGAAAACATGAGAAACATTGTGACAAACATCAACAAGAATATCAACAAAACAAACATCAAAACAAACAAAACGAAGAAAGACATAGGGAAAAACATCAAGAAAAACAACAAAAACAACAACAAAAACATGAAGGAAAACAACAAGAGAAACATCAAATCATTCAACAAAAACATCAAAACATTCAACAAAACACCGAACAAACACATCAAAACATCCAACAAAAACCTCAAAACAACCATCAAAAACATCCTATTCATTTGTTGGAAAGAATGTTGTTTTACACTTTCTATCAACCCTTTCTCTTCTCCCTAATTGTTCTCTACCCTGAATTTGAACGACAATATGCCGAAATTAACGCAAAACGTCGAAATTGGACAAAAATAATTTTTAAATGTTTTCGTGTGGCTTTTTGGTGGGCAGTCTGTGAATTGTGTTTACACTTTGTTTATTTTGGGTCAATTGCTTTAGATACCGAATTTATGCAGAAATTGCCTAAAGACCAATTTGTGAGTATTGGAATGGCCATAGGTACTGGATTTCTAATTATTTGTTGGGGAGGAATAAGAGGGGAAAGATTTTTTTGTTAAAAATACCCCCAACATGCTATTTTTACACTATCAGGCTTCGTATTGTTGAGCCTGTTTAGTTCCTTTACGCCTCGTAAAAATTCATTTGGGTGGGAATTTAGAAGCATAGTAGGAAGGAACCGGTCCAGAGCTGGGCAATCTAAAGCCAGTTGCTAGGGGGTTGCTATGGGGTTTCCTTTCTGTTTTAAGCTCTGTTCCATGTTTTTTTCCAAGTCATGTTCACATCAGTTAAAACCCATCCCAAGGGCACTAAACAGAACGAAGTTTGCTATTACCTCTGATATTAAAATTTAAAGGAGCCTTTTTCCATCTAAAATATGTTGTTATATTTGGACTTCCTGCTATTTTTGCCCTAATTGATGGAATGGAACCTCCGGACGGTCCTATTTGTATATCTCGTGTTTCACTTTATTCTAAAATTTGGAGAGGTTTTGACAGAGGATTATATGCATTTTTTAAGGTAAATCAAAACTTTAGGGTTCTCCGAAGAACCTCCAGTTTTCTAATCCCAAGCTTCTACTTACCTATAACTCTCACCTAACTAAAGATTTTGATTACCAAGATTTTTGTTTGAGATCTCATCTCTACACTATCTTTAGTCGGAATTGGGTCCCATTCAGGGCTGGACGCAATTGAAAAAAAAATTTCCGCAGCCGCAATCCGCAAGTCAACAAACCCCCAGTAGAGAATCTCGGCCCAATCTCTCAATCCAGTAACGAATCTCTCAATCCCAGTGGTCCCAATTTCATCCAAACCCAACTGAATGAATTTTACTGGTATCCGACGTTGGGATCCCAATCCAGACATCCACTATTTTAAAAATATCCCAGTCCATTTTCCAGCCTTTACCAAAAAATGGGATAAAATAGAGTCTGCTTTATTAATTTTATTAAACACAGGAATACATTTTTGTGCCTATTTGTTGGCCCACATTTTCATTACCCAAAAAGCTCATTGGTCTATGCATTTCCTTTACTTTTGTTTTGCTATGGCATGGATTTTATCATCACAATATTGTCTGGATTGGCTTAAATATTGTTGAGCTTAGTATAGAGTAAATCTTTTTAATTTAATCTCTTCAAGTCCCCAACGTTAACAAGCTATGCTTAAATTTCTAACCATAAATTCCGAACAAAAAATTCCAAAATTTTGGGGAATATTAGTCAGACCTGGTCATGGATACAGATAATATTAAGATGCCTGCGGATATCCGCCTGTATCCACCGTAAATATCCGGATACGAATATCAAAATCAGTATCCGTGACCAGGTCTGATATTAGTCGACACCTTAACTATGCCTATACAAAAGTTCAAGTTTTCAGGCCCTAGTCGGACTAGTTTACAATTATCTAATAGATACGAGCTAGGCTTTGATGTCGCCTACCCTTATGACTTGAGTTCGGCTCCGATCCTTCGGAGTTGAAAAGTTCCGGGTCGGGGTTTTAGCCAAAAATAGAGGGGGGGTTCGGGGTCCAATTCTACATATACCTATCTACTTAATTTTCATTATTCCCCTTCAGATTTACTTCAAAAGCCATATATTCAATACCAAAAGTTCAAAACCTTCGAAAACAAATATTATCAGATTTAAATTTTCGTCGATTGCTGGGATGGCTACAAATTATCCCCTTTGCCTTTGGATTATATTCTAACTTTTATTTTCTTGGGGGATCTGCTGTTGGGTGGTTATTTGTTCAGAGAATATTTTGGGAGGAGACGGTTAGTTAAAAGGAAATATCAAAACACACAAATCAAAAAATTATTAATTCAATTAATAATCAGATCTCACTATCACATATCATCAAATAGGAAGAGTATCGCTTTGATAACTCCCCCATGTCAGTGATCTTCCCAATTTTAAGAAATTAAATTTTTAGACATCTTTTCTTAGAGGATATTAACATAGTTGCCGGATCCTAGGAAATCCCCAGATAACCAGGTCCGTTATCTAAACCAGAAATTTCCTGATCTTTTTTCGGATCCAGATATCTGAATCACAAGTTCTAGTATTTGATGTTCCTATAGAGAGCTTCTACTGTTCGATTAATCCTTCTTACCCTAATTTAGGTCCCCCTTCGTTGGCCATTTCTTTTATTAATTACATGCGGCTATTTTTACACACAAGTTGCAATGGAAATAGAACGATGTTGGCCAGAAAAGCGCAAAGTTTGTGTTTTTCAGAGAGTAAAGAAAGAAGAAAATGGGCATGTTTTGGAGGGGGAGAAACAAAAAACTTATTAAATATTAATTTTTTAATTTTTTTAACTTAATTGCCTTTAATTTTTAAGTTTTCCCCGCATTTAATTAAAATTTAATATAGCTTCTAAATTTTTCAATACTTTTTAAATCTGAATGCTCTTACTGCTAAAAATCTGCTACCGCAAGGAGGAACGAAAAAATCTCTATCAAGAAATTTATTTCAATAGTTCGCATAAAATGAAAACATTCTAAAATCTAATAAGGCCATCAAGGATAATGACCATTTCTTTTAATTTTAATTATAACGGACTAGGTAGAGCATAAGTATCGAGACTTCAGGCTTCAGTCTCGAGGCCCTATTTTCAGCCTATTTGGGCCTATTTAGTTCTGATCATATCACACCATTAAAAGTTACAGCTCAATAAATTCCCCTGCCCATGGACCTGACAATTTTTTATTTTTCAACTTTTGTCCATGTTCAAAAACATAAAAACTAGCCTGTTGGACAGTAAAGTTCATCACTTGGCCTATGTAGCAACATTCCTAAAGCAAAAGCTCTTTCCTCCACATCCAAAACACAATCTTCTTTTCCATCACACCTAGCAGATATTGGAATACACAAACCATCTGCACATTCCCATTCTTTGATCGGGTCGCAATTTCGACGGGGAGATGATTCTTTTAAATTTTTAAATAAATATAAATAAATAATAATGATAAAAAAATTTTGATTAATTTATGTAATGTGCATCTCCACTTTAACATAATCCTCATCGAGATTTTTTGAATATAAAAGGTATAAAAGGTTATTTAAAATTTTTACCGGCATTTCTGCAGCATTGTCCATGTTCACAGGACGTTCTAGAAGGACAAACAGAGTGAGACCAACAATAAGTAGAGCCATGGATGCTGAAATCTGGCAGGGAACCGTCCAGACAGGCAAGGGTGGGGCTCGAGAAGGGTCCTTGAAAGGATTAAAAAATATTAATTTAACACTAAAGCTCATTTATATTTTAATTTTATTTCCAAATTTATTTGAATTTTTAACAATTGAGGGAGTTGAATGAAAAAATATGGGCCCGAAAAACGGGAAATCAATACGAGAAACTCAGGAATCAAAGTATAGGAGGGATCTGGGTTTCCTAAACCAAAATCAGCCTATAGGAGGGATAGGGGGTTTTCCAAAACCTTAGGGCAATGATAAACAAAATAATGCCAAAATGATGCTTAACACATTCTCAGCACCTTCAACAGGCGTAAATTCAAATCCATCCCCTGAGGCGTGGAGCCTTCCAATTCTTCCATCCTTCAGAGCCCTAAACAACTCCCATTTCAAACGGTGAAGAACCGCAGTCGAGGAATCCAACGGCAAATCAAAATTTAAATAAATCGTTGCTAGAGTCCCAAGGACTTGGTCGTGTTGAAGCCTGGAGACGTTCGACTCCCTAAAGGAGGGCTCCGTTTGCCAGAACTGTTCAAAAGCTTCATTTATATCCCATGCTGCCTCTTTGAAGTTTCTACTTGTTTTTAAATTCATTTCAGAATTGAAAGGCAATTCTGGAAGGTTTATCTTTATTTGAATAACGGTCCTTACTAGAGGACGTGATGGAGGTAATGGACAGAAGATGGAATTTGATAATATTAGAATAAGGAATATTTTGATAAAAATAAATTTTAAATGATGTTTATCCATGATTAGCTTAAAAATAATTTTTTAAAATTAATTTTATTGTATTATAAAATTTTTGGGATGAACGGTAAATAAATTAAAATTGATAGAAAAATGATTTTTAAAGAATGCCAAAAATTTTCAAGGAAAACTGAAGAAGTCTTAAGTTTTATTTTGGAGAAAAAAAGTAAATTTTGGAGATTGAAAGATCAATTTTTAATTTTTTTGGATTTCTTAAATTTTGTTTTGTAAATAATGTCATAGTTGCATAGCGGTATTTTTCTATCCCTTAGATGATTAAAGTTGTTGATTTTGACTAAATTTGACATTAGTTACATAATTTAAAGCGAGGTGTTGTTAAGTTGTAAAGACGGCTATAATCAATTCTGAAGTCGAAATCGACACCCTAGTTAAGTGATCGAAAAATACCAAAGGAAAAGCATAAAAATGATTTACAAAACACAGTTTAAAAAACTAGAAAAATCAAAAATTGATTTTAAGAGAGAAAATTTTGAAAAACCCCCACATAGCACCCAACAATAATAAGTAAAATTCGCAACAATTTTTACAAAAAAAAACAAAAGGATTTAAAAACAACTAAAATAAACAAGCTAATAATTAGCTAATAATTAGTCAAGTACTTTGCTCGAAAAAAGGGTTATTGAAAAGAGACACTTGGAAAATGGTTGATCTGTTGCGAGAATCGATCCTAATACTCTCAATTGGTATATAAACGGTTTATTAGTAAATAGGTATTATAGTATCCGGAAAATATAATTATCCGGAAAAAGTTGAATAGGTAGATATTTTTCCGGAAAGTTTTCCGGTTGTATACAACCGGAAAGTTATAGTAATAGTTACCCTAATATATCCGGAAAGTCTTAAATAAATATAAATATTCCGGAAATATAATTTTCCGTGAATATAATTATCCGGAAAAATTTGAATATATTTTTTTCCGGAAAGTTTTAAATAAAATATAATTTCCGGAAAACTTATATAAATATTACAGAAATATAATTATCCGGAAAGTTTGAATAGATCTTTTTCCGGAAAGAAATATTAGTAGTTCCGGAAAGTTTTGAATAAAATAGATTCATATGAACATTCCGGAAATATAATTATACGGAAACTATTAGACAGATATATTTCCGGAAAGTTTTAAATATACATAATATACAACCGGAAAGCTATCTTAATATACTATAAGCATTCCGGAAGACTATAAATAGATATTATATGTAGATTTCCAGAAATACAAGCATATAATTATACATTATTCCGTAAAATTATAGGTAAATATTATAAATAATGTATATATGATACATATTTTGATATCTAAGGGGCAGCAAATAAATATTTATGTATTGCCAGATTCATGTGCTCTATACAAAAGAAAAAGCTGCGTCAGATGTAACACACAAAAAGAATTTTTTCAGCTTTTCCTTTCTTTTTGTGACAGTTTATTCAATTCAAAGAGAAAACTGTTAACAATAAGTATTATGTAATCTTTGAAGAAAAATATTAAGTGGTCTAATAGAGAGAGAGATGGCTTTAGCAGAGACTTATTTTTTGTGTTTTGACCTAACTGTAAATTTAACTTTGGTTTAATAATTATTAGTAAATTGATTTTAAAAAAATTTAAGAAGTTTTGGATATTTTAAAAATACAAAAATATTTTTAATAAATGGTGAATTAGAGAAATTTTTTAGAAGTTTTGAAATTTTATACATTTTGAAATTTTAGAGTTCCTGAAAGCTTTCAATGAAAGAGTGATTCTGGAAAATATTATAATATGGTTGGCGGATCCGGATATCAAGATCCGAATTAGGCCAAATATCCGGAAATTTTTGGTTTGGATACCGGATCCGGATATCTGAAGATTTCCAACTATCGACAACCTTATATTACAATAATAATATAAGCTTAATAGCTCCAAAAATAAATAAGTCCGGAAAATTATATAACTACCAGAGGTGGGTCGGAACAGTCAGAGGTGTCGGAAATGAGAAAAGCCGGAAATTGGAACTGGCTCAAAAGTCGGAAATCGGAAATCAAAATTTTTTTCGGAAATCGGAAGGAAAAATGTCGGAGCTCGGAATTCCGACACACCTCTGATACTTACCTAATATAAAATTTAATACAGGGATCCTATTTTCTTGGAGCTCAAAAAATCGAAATAAAAAATTGACTCATATTCCTTTCGCTTTTTAAGGAGGGAATATGAATAAAAAATAAAAAACGGATGATTAACAGGTAAAAATTACAAAAAAAATCATTTTTAATATTTAAACGGGTTATTTTGGCAAAAAGTTTTAGAAATAATGGACACACATAAGTAAATATACAAACATTGTCGGCAATTTGATTGAAGGAAAAAAAGTAAAAAGCTAAAAATATTTTTATTTAGTAGCTAAGGAGAGCGAGAGGAAAGAGATTTTAATGCGCAGGTCGAGAACACTGAGGGGCAAAGAAAAAAATTAAAAAAAAACTATTTAAATTTAATTTTAAAACCTCCAATTCGGAGAACAAACCCCAATACCTACTAGAAAGTATGTATAAACGTTAGATTCTTGATCTTCGTCCTGATTCAAAACAAAAAGGGTTCCTTACGGTTTTGAGTTGAAATCTTGGTCTTTGGGAGGAGGGGTTCAGTATTGGTCTTAATTCTTGGAAAATTTTCGGTCTAGGACAATCTCTACTAGTTATGGAAGGGATAATTTTTAAAGAACCTTCTCTATATTTAAATATAAGAATAGTAAAATTAACAGAAAAATTATTTTTGCTTAATTATCAAGTTGGCAGACATGTTGAACTAAACGACCTATTAAAAGAATGAAAATAATAATATGAAAAATGATGATTAATAAAAATTTTTTTTAACATATGGAAAGTCAATTTTACATAATATGAATAAATTTATTTAAAGAAGTAAATTAAAAAGAAAAATTGGAAATAAATTTGCACAATATAAAAAAGTTGAAAAGGAGTTTTATAAAAGAAGAAGCAGATCATTAAGAAAGAAAATCAGAAAATGTTTAGAAAAATGAAAAGTTACAAGACGGCATTTGGCCAGTCTTCTTCCTATTTTATTGTAGGAAAATGAAAGAATGATTGTACGCAAAAGGAGAAGCAAAAAATGTGTGCTTGTATGAATATGTGTATAAATAAATATTTTTATTACATTAAAAGTAAAAATAAAAAAATAATGTGAGAATAATGTGTGTATATATTTTATTAAATTTGACGTATTTTAAATGGTAATATTTACCTAGGTACCTATATCGAGGCCTATTGGATGGATGGGTACCCTTAACCATGAAAAATTTCATTGATATTAATGAGGGGATTTATAGGCTTTTAGACTGAATTAATATTTATTTCTTAATTATTTTCCTTATTCTTAAAGTTGAGAACCCGATCTTGAAATTTTACATAGAAGTTGAGGCCTATTGGATTTATGGGTGGAGGTTGAATGGGTGGAAATGGAAGAAATAGAAGGCCCAACCGAATTTAAAAAACCGGAAGGTTGAAGAGATCCCATTCCTGTTGGAGGCCTCTAAGCGATACACCCACTTATTTTGAGAATTTTGGAAGGCCTTTAGCTTTTGGCATGATTTTGGGGAATAAGGCTAAAACATACTAGTACTGATTTTTCCGCATTTTAAAAATATTTTAGAATTGTTACTAATAAATTAATTCAAATAATTTATAATCAAAATTGAATTATATTAATTACCTTTTATTTGCTGATCATTATTTGTCTTATAAAAATAATAGTTGTTTAAATCCAAATTTCTGGACAATATTAAATTGGAAATTTGAAAGTCAAAAAATATTAGGAACAAAAATAACAGTTTAATTAACATTATAAATTTTACATTATTTTTTAAAATTCTATTGATGGAACTTGATTTAAAATAAATTAAAGGATTAAATAAATTAATAGTTAACAGCAGGGTTGCCGCGGGTACAAAAAATCTTCGGGTACGTGTTTCGGGTTAGAGCTTTTCATTTCGGGTTTCGGGTTGACAAAAATTTCGGGTACGGCCACTTTTGATATCTATTCACTTCAAAAACTTTAATTTGTATTGAATAATTATTCGTACAGCGACATTTAATAATATGTATGTTTTATGTCTAAAAGAAATATTAGGTAATTTTGCTAGAGGAAAATGAAAAATAATAGATGAAAAATGATGACTAATGGAAGAGAATTATTCAAAAGTTAACTAAAAAATTTCCAGATTTTTTCCTTAACTTTTCAAGGCTGGACAATAACACAAAATAAAGAGAGAAATGATTATAGTATGACCTGTACCGGTCTAGGAACTTGTAATCCCTGGCAAAGATTCCTTCTAGCCAGAGGTGGAACTCGGAAATGACGAAGGTGCTGGAAATCGGAAATGGCGGAAATCGGAACTGGTGGAAATCAGAGCTGTCGGAAATTGGAAATGTCTCAAAAGTCGGAACTCGGAATTTAGACCCACCACTTCTCCCAGAAAAAAATCAAAAATTATCATTGCATTGAGATAGGCTCTTCTAATGCATGGTTAAACACCATGCATTAGCCGAGCTGTTACGATCATGTTCTATCTAATCCTTTTGGTATTCTTGGGATGTGACGGTCGCTTTTTTAATCAAAAATTAATTAAAACAGCTCACGTTCTAAGGACTATAAATAAGCAAATTTTTCAATTTTTAAAATAAATATGTTAATGTTCAATAAATTTTTTCTGGTAAAATTAAGGAAAAATTGGAAAAGTTGAAGAGGATTAAAGGAAATTTGAGGTAATAAACAACCATTATTATTTATAAATTAAGGTAAATTAATAAATAAAATTATTACAATGGTCTAAAGCTTTCTTTTTTAATTTTTAAACAAAGTGTTTAAATGATGGATTGAATTAAAGCTTTTTGCTGACAGCTATAAAATATAGAAAATAATAAATTTTATACAAATATATCATTTTATTGTTCTTGGTGGTTTAATACTTACAGTTGAACCTGGCCTATGTGAAACCTCATGCGTGAATACTTGATGAAATTTTTTGATTCTGTCTGGCAACTGTATGTATGTTGCATTTCACTTTATTGTAAATATTAAGGGGGGTTTGTACGGTACCCCCAGATCCAAAAATTTTTATATGCCTTAAAATAAAATTTACTCAATGAGTGCCAAACAAAAAGCATTTAAATAAATAAAAATTTTGATTTTTGTATATTAAGTAGATATTGAGATTTTTTAGTTAAAATATATCTCGATGAAGGAATCACATTAGAACTTCGTTTCTTTTGTATTTCCAATCTATATTGATAGACATGTTCAGATAAATTTTTGTGGATTTTTTAATTGATAAATAAAAATTTTGGAGGGGGGTGCGTATAATTAGTTAACACTAGTTATTGTCAAAAATGTCCATAAGTCTGAAAAAGAAATTCTCAAATTTAAAATTTTTTTGATAATAGGTGGCTTTTAACATACAGATTTAATATATAAAAAACTAGAAAGCCAAGTCCCAATTTAGGTTTGGAAAATCCAAAAAAATAGGGGGTGTGTATAATTAGTTAACAGAGTGTATTATGTAGGATTTTTTTATAAATTATTCCAAAAATTATTCAAAATAAAAAATATTAGAAAAAAATCCAACCTTATTTTCTATACAGACTAACTCATTTCTAGATACCCAATAAATATAAGATATACCTCAAGTTAGGAGATTGGGTTGCCCTACTAATCCCTGGCATTCATCGTTTTCTATGTGTAGTTTTCTAATCAGATTTTCCGCTTTCTGGTCCCATTTTTATAAATTTCAAAATTTTATTCAAAATTAATTAAAAATTTCCAAAAAATTTCCAACTCTTATTTGACTCCCTTTAATTTTCCTAATATTTATTAAAATCAACTTTAAAAAAATAAAACGAGCTTTAATGATAATTAATATTTTTCAAAAGAAAAATTTCAAAGCTTGATTTGAAGATTAATTTGAATAATTGGCTGTAGTATAGTATACCGGTGGAAAGGTTTCGATATATGACCATTACCATTCGATTCGTCTCGGCGAACGGTACAACTCTTTTTTTCCGGAGATGCCTGTGGGCCGAGATATAGGTCCCCGAAAATCGAAAAACCATAGGGGGGAGTAAGCACAATTTTGGGGTGAAAAATTCGATTTTTCGTGTGATAGCTCATTCGAAAGAGCTGATCGAGCTGAGTCGAATGACACCAAAATCAACAAAATCTGATTTGATTAGACCGAGATACAGACTTCTGAAAATTGAAGAACTAAAAGGGCGAATTTTGGATAAAAAATTCGAATATGCAAATGATAGCTCATTCGAAAGAGCTCCTCGAGCTGAGTTGAATGACACCAAAATCAGCAAAATCAGACTTGATTTGAGAAAGTTAAGACTGTTTATTTTAGCTCCTTACCTATGCCATCCGTTGAGTGGTTGCTGCTGCGGAGGAAACCGGGCAAGCCCACTTCATCGATAATATGAATAGGATTAAGTTACGAGCCCAGACCCAACGCCCGTAGACTCCCCGCGAGGCGCGTGCCGCAAAACCCCGCGCGAAGCGCGGGGTTTTGCACAAGCGCCTCGCCGACGCTCCATAGGTTTATGTTGACCATTTTGAACCTCTTTATCTAGGCTAAAAATCAAGATCTCGATCTCATTTTGGTGTCATTCGACTCAGCTCGATCAGCTCTTTCGAATGAGCTATCACACGAAAAATCAAATTTTTCACCCCAAAATTGTGCTTACTCCCCCCTATGGTTTTTCGATTTTCGGAGACCTATATCTCGGTCCACATGCATCTCCGGAGTGGTACCGTTCGACTCAGCTCGCCGAGACGAATCGAATGGTAAGGGTCTTATATCGAAACCTTTCCACCGGTATACTATACTATATCCGAATAATTTTTAAAAATACTGAATAAAGATGAAAAATAAAATAATTCTACATAATATGTATAAATTCAAAAAAAAATTTTTTAACTAAAAATAGTATCAATTCTACACAATATATAATATTTCAGATTTTTAATTATTTAAATAGTACTGTTTGTCCCTCATTTGGGTAAATTGTCTTCTCTATGTTCTGATAATTTTTGGAACGGGGGGTTTACGATCGGAACCCCCTTCTAATTTTCTCTACATGTAAAGCTCGGTCTCATTATAGACTACATCCAGTCTTGAGACTCTCAATTCTATTTTGCATATCTGTTCGTAAATTTGGTTGGTCATTTAGTCAGTGATAAATTCATTATAAGGCCGAAGATTGTATTTTATAGTGATTCTGGGAGTAAGACCCCTAGAGACCGAATCAGGACGTTATTTTAAACAAAAATCTAGGTTATCGAACTTTAAATTTTTCGAGATATTAATGTCGTACAACACTCCCAATTCGTTCTTTAATTTAAACAAAAATCAGCACATCTCATTGTAAAGAATAGGTGATCTTTAAAATTTTTGGAAAGTTTCTGAATTACTTTTTGACGTTAGTAGTTGAGGTTCAGTTGATTGTAATATCACAAAATTAAACAATTTTTTCAACAAAAATAAGCCCCAAATTACATAAGACCAGGGTTTCGATCTTGAATTTTTAAAAATCCGCAAATTTGATCTAAAAAATCCGCATTTTATATCAAAAATCCGCAAAAAAATTTTCAAACACAAAAATTAAATTAAACGCACTTTATGCATTATATTTTTCGTCCTCTACAATTGAATTAAGCAATTTTTTTATTACTAATGATCATCTTATGAAAATCCAACAACTATCTGAAAATTTACACTTGCATTTTTGTCGCGGAAGATGTAACAACTTTTTATTTCTCCATTTTCAGCGCCGCAGGCGAAAATTTTTTAATTTTGGAAGATCTTTAAGCCAAAAATCGTTCATTTTGAGGCAAGGCAAAAAATTTTGAGGATTTTAGAAGATCGAGGATACAGATTCTTTTTTTTGCGCCGCAGGCGAAAATTTTGAGAATTTTGGAAGGCCAAGAAGCAAGATTTGTTCCATTTTCAGCGCCGCAGGCGAAAATTTTGAGGATTTTAGATGGTCCTAGCGGAAAAATAATGGCATTTTTGCTAAAAACCACAAGAAAATATAAAAAATCCTCATAATCTTCAAAAGACCACATAAATCCGCAAATCCGCATTTTAAAAAATAATCCTCATCGCCCTATCGAAAAACCACAAAATGAGGAAAAATCCGCAGATATCGAAACCCTGCATAAGACCAATATTTTATTTATAGTATTAGCAGGAACTATTTGCAATAAAAACTAAAGTTAAGCTAAATTGGACTATAGCTATTTGTCTCCTTCAGCTCGTCAAAAGGTTATTTCCGGTAGAGAACCAGAATTAGCAGTTGACCTGATGTGTTTTGATTTCTACTAAATTTCACTATTTTAATTTTTCTCAACTATTTTAAGAATTCGTCCACTCAACCAAATCGTTTAAAATTCTAGAATCTCGAAAATTGTATTTTAATATCGTAATTATTTCAAAAATTCAAATATTCAAACAGCAAAAGAAGTCAGTTACAGAAAACTGAACGAGAGAATCCCCTAGTTGTTAAACAACTAAACAATCATACAGTTGCAAGTAACACCCCCTTTACCAAGCAATATTTACTGTATATTTCCAACTAAATCCCCTAAAGAATTTAATAAATAAACATTTATTTTTAAAAAATAATTATTTCAATAAAATAATTTTGAGTAAAACGTGGATTTGAGTACCTCTTCGTTTAAAAATTTATCAGTATTTTTAGAGTTCGTCCATTTTTGTTCGCAGATTTGGTATACATATTTTAGCGTTAATTTCGCAATATGCCACTAACGCAACAGGCCGGTCCCTGGTCCGCACTTTTAGAAAAATGAAATAACCCATTGTACTCCAATTGGTTGTACTCCAAACTTCTCTATCATTAAGAGGGATATTTAATTTTTTTTAACATTACGCCTTTTCTGAGAGATTAGTGAAGATATATTTGAACTATTGTTCGAACGATTTAACCTCCCACTACTATCATTCGCCCCTCCTTAGAAATTTCACCAAAGAAGCCAATATCTTAAAATATTACTTACTTTTAATTGGCGTTAGAAAAAATATTTTTAAGGAAGTTTCAATCCCTGATAACGAAAAAAAGAACTTTTAATCATTAATAAAAATCCAAATTTAATAAATAGGGGGATAAAAACTTGTTTATAAAATTGGCACGCCTTGTTTTTAACTGCTGAAAGAATTGATGCTGCCAGTGCACATCCAGTCTTCGGCGGACGGACTAAATAAATAAAAATTTTAAATTTTCTCCAAAATAATCAAATAATTTAAATAGAAGTTTTCAGAAAATTGCCGAAAAATTGAAATTAATCTTTTGGAAATTGTCGACAAATTTAGAACTACTCTTATGATGATTTTCGAAAACTTTAAATCAATTTAAAACTATAATAAAAAAAAGAAACCGTCAGAAAAAAAGAACCCATCCAAAAATGGGGAAAAATCCTGGTGTGGGCTCAAGCGCACCAAAATCCTGATTCTAATAAATAAATTGAATAAAAATAAAAATGTTTTTAAAAATAAACGTCAATTGCAGCTAAGTATATCGCCAAGTGATTGACTTGAACATCCTGATCAGGCAAATTTTCATACTCCATCAAAACTTCATCATTTTGAAAATCTTCCAAATTTTCTTCCAAAATTTCATTTTCGACATTTCCTTCTTCCATATTCTCTATTATTCCAGATTTTTCATTATCCTTTTCTCTTTTGAAACAGCTGCATACATTGCCCATTGTAAAATTATTGCCAACGCTAGAAATAGTCTTAAAAAATTGTTTTTTGGAAAATGTTTTTTGGAATATTGCCCATTTACGATGGGCAATGTATGCAGCTGTTTCAAAAGAGAAAAGGATAATGAAGAATCTGGAATAATAGAGAATATGGAAGAAGGAAATGTCGAAAATGAAATTTTGGAAGAAAATTTGGAAGATTTTCAAAATGATGAAGTTTTGATGGAGTATGAAAATTTGCCTGATCAGGATGTTCAAGTCAATCAATTCGCGATATATTTAGCTGCAATTGACGTTTATTTTTAAAAACATTTTTATTTTTATTCAATTTATTTATTAGAATCAGGATTTTGGTGCGCTTGAGTTCACACCAGGCTTTTTCCCCATTTTTGGATATACTCCTGACGGTTTCTTTTTTTTATTATAGTTTTAAATTGATTTAAAGTTTTCGAAAATCATCATAAGAGTAGTTTTAAATTTGTCGACAATTTCCAAAAGATTAATTTCAATTTTTCGGCAATTTTCTGAAAACTTCTATTTAAATTATTAGATTATTTTGGAGAAAATTTAAAATTTTTATTTGTTTAGTCCGTCCGCCGAAGACTGGATGTGCACTGGCAGCATCAATTCTTTCAGCAGTTAAAAACAAGGCGTGCCAATTTTATAAACAAGTTTTTATCCCCCTATTTATTAAATCTGGATTTTTATTAATGATTAAAAGTTCTTTTTTTCGTTATCAGGGATTGAAACTTCCTTAAAAATATTTTTTCTATCACCAATTAAAAGTAAGTAATATTTTAAGATATTGGCTTCTTTGGTGAAATTTCTAAGGAAGGGCGAATGATTGTAGTGGGAGGTTAAAATCTTCACTAATCTCTCAGAAAAGGCGTAATCTTAAAAAAATTAAATATCCCTCTTAATGATAGAGAAGGTTGGAGTACAACCGATTGGAGTTATCGAAATTTTCGCTTGCGTCGCTAAAAGAAGCATGCCCTGATCTAAATACCAAAACCTACTATCATAGAACGCCTAGAAAAAACTCCAGCTACAAATAAGGACCTAGACCCTCATTATCCAAATCCCCTTATATTATTAAAAATTCAGTAAATCAACTGATATCTCCTCAATACACCCATATCCCCTCACCCACCCGCCCCTCCGAATCCCCTGATACATATCCCCCTTAATTCCCAATCCAAAACTGAACAGTTAAAGGAAGAGGTGCCCAAATCAAAGTTAAACTAATTTTAAAAATAAAATTGGTCAAAACTTAAATTCTGTTTTACCAAGTTCTTCTTTGCTTCTCTTTTCCTTGGCCAGCTTCATCCAAAAATTAATCAAATTCATTATATAACGTCCAAACTTGTCCATAACCAGCAAATAAAATTGTTCCCTTCTTTAATATTCCTCTATTTATGATTGCTGCAGAGACCAGAGATCTTTAAAGAAAAAATCTTTTTTAATTTTTAAATAAAAAAATAAACCAGGCAAATTAGTTGATTCAACAATTGTAGCTTCTACTAAACCTTTTGGTGTTAAACTTAATAGCCTTGAAAGCAGAATGTCCTGGAGTATCGAGAAAAGGTGACTGGAAGATTTTCGACAGATGGGAGTTTAACTAGAAAAAAATAGAAAATTGGGATGAAATGTCATCTTTAACCAAATTTTAAAAAATTTGAGTTTCCAAAAATTTTTTTAAAAAACAGTTCAAAAGGTATACTTGCATAAAATTAATCAAAGTTGAAATAAAAAAATATTTAGCCTGATAGGATTCGAACCATGGACCCCAAAATCAAAAATTATCCCACTACACCAAACTAACAATATTTTCAAAAAATACCAGAAAACGCCACAACGTGTTGAGTAATTCCACCAAATTCCTGAGAAAACTATGTTTGAGCGTCTTAGAGAATCCAGTAAAGTTGTCTTCCCATGATCCACACGCCCAATGTTTGCCACAATAGGAGCTCTCTTTTGAAATTCTGAAGGAAAGGATGGAGGCCTAAAAAGTTTGAATAAGCTTTAAAAATAAACTCAAAACGAAACTGTGGACAAAGTTGAAATTCGGATTCATCAATAATTTAGCTATTTGAGTAATTACATCAATAAGGAAGTCAATATCTTTCCCAACAGAAGCAGCAAAACGTCTGAAAATTTTGCATAAAATTGATTTTAAATTTTTAAAAATTTTTTTGGAAGAAATTTTATGGATTTTTCAATTCAAAATGCTTTAAAGTAAAAATAGAAAATGTTTTTCAACAGCCGGGTTCAAACCAACGACACCTAATAGGGAAAACCCAAACGTAACCCACTTCACCAAAAAGACAAAACACGCATTTTAATTAAAAATCGCAAGCCGGGATAGGCCCAACTTTTCAGACTCATCTATCCTTCCTGTCAATGACTTAAACTAAACATGGTACTACTGAAGAAAAGGGTGCTTTTTCTGCGGACTTATTTTGCGGACTTTTCCTTTCTTTTAAATGTTTCTTTTTTAATGTTTTGTTTGTCTTGCTTGTAGCAAGTTTTGCTTGTAGCAACTAACGGTCAAAGGATTGATTTTTATGTCAATTTGAAAAATATGTGTTCACCATTAATTTGAACATTATAAACGTTAAAATTGACTTTAACTATATTTTCAATTACCCGATGATGAATTTCAACAATGGATCACTGATCTCGGAATGCTTCATAGAAAAAGAATATGTGATTGTGGACAGAAATGCGGGTAATTTCAAACCTTGTCCCCTCCCCATTATTTTTATTACCTAAGATTGTACAAAATGGTCAGATTTCCTCCTTCCTCTCTTTCCTCTATTTAAGCTTGGCATATTCAAACAAGAGACATTGTTGATAAAGAGAAGATTAATTGAGTTGTTCAATATTGAGTTCATTTTATTTTCAGTTGTTCAATATTTTTAAATATAAGTAAGAATGTAATGTTTTTACACAAAAATTCATAATGTTATACACCAAATCAATTTTATTTCTTTTTTGGTTCAAATTGTTTTCGAAGGCAAAAAATAAGTGTATGACTATGTATAAAATTAATCTTCTCTTTATCAATGTCACTTGTTTGAATATGCCACAGGGCAAATAGAGGAAGGAGAGGAAGAAGAAAATCAGACCTTTATGTACAATCTTAGGTAAGAAAAATAATAGGGGGGAGGACCTTTGACAGTTAGTTGCTACAAGTAAAACATTTAAAAGAAAGGAAAAGTCCGCAAAAAAAGTCCGCAGAAAAAGCACCCTTTTCTTCAGTAGTGCCCTAAACATTTAAACACCCCAAAAACCCACTCTAAACAAATTCCATCAAAGACAGCAACAGGCTTTTTGCTTTCAATCTTCTTAATTCCAACAGGCAAAAGTTTTCCTCTTTTATTCTTCTTATTCAAAATTTCAGTCAATTTATGATCTTTTTGAAGCTATGGAGAATGAGAGAAGTGTCGAGAAGTCTAAAATTAAAAAAATTAAAAATAACAAAAAATAGTCGAAAATGACCTTTAAAGGAATCCGTTTAAGTACAAGTTTGTTAAGCGTCAAAACAGTAGAAGAACAAGAAGGCAAAACAGAAAGAAGTTAGGGAATTAAATTAATTTCAAAATTTAAACACTTTGAGCACGGGTAAATTTATTGAAAAAGTAGAGATTAGAGATCGGAACGGGATCGGGACCCGGTCCCGTTTCCCGGTTTCCCGGTCCTTTTTCCCGGCTTTTTTGAAGATGCCGGGATGAAACCGGGATCGGGAATTCCCGGTTTTCCCGGTCCGGGTCCCGGCCGGTTAATTTTCATTTCCCGTTTCCCGTTCCCGATCCCGGCTTTTTTTGGACCGGGAAACCGGGAAAAATTCTTGCAGCTAATTTTAAATATTTTTGCTTGGCGTTTTGATTTTTGACTTAAAAATATTGGAGATTTTACAAAAATTCTCAAAATTTTCGCCTGCGGCGCTGAAAACGGAAGAAATTTGCTGTTTGTCCTTCCAAAATTCTCAAAATTTTCGCGGAAGAATTTGGAACGGAGAAATTTTGAGGTATTATTGTAGGAAAAGTTGAGGGAAATTAGTGTATAGTGCGATTTTATCAAGGGACCTGGTGATTAAGGCATGTTTATCCCTCTAAATCCATTAGATCTGCCTTAATCATCTGATATCATTGCCTTCCAATTGAAGGGATTTGAATAAATATCAGGTGATATATAGGTGGTTGGAGGTCCTTCTCCACAGTCTCTCTTAATGCTATCTAACAAATACTTGAATCTCTCGATATCTCTTTTAATCCCTGATATCACTATTGCACAGAGAAGATCAGAGTGGATTTGGAGGGATTAAATAAAAATTAAATCAGCATCAAGGTGGATTAGGAGGGATTAAAGGGAATTAGATGAGGAATACATACAGGCGATATAAAAAATTTGAGGAGGCTATCGGGAGATCTTAAACTCCAAAATCTCCTAATATCCCACAATCCTTCTCTTGCCTCTCAAATCCCTTTAGCCCTACGTAATCCGCTTTATGTTTTAATTTATTGTAATTTACATTTGTTTTATGATTTATTTTACTGATTTATTAAATTCTTCTATTTATAAATCAGATTTTTCAATAATTAACTACTCCCATAACTTTTTAAAATTTTTAAATGAATTAAAAAAATTTTTTTTAATTTCCCGGTTTCCCGGTCCGGGTCCCGGTCATTTTTGACCGGGATGAAACCGGGAACGGGAATTCCCGGTTTTCCCGGTCCGGGTCCCTCCCGGTCGTCCTTCAGAACCCGTTTCCCGTTTCCCGGTCCCGGTTTTTTCAAAATTCCGATCTCTAGTAGAGATTTAGAAAAGTCGACATTTTGACATTTTACATTTTAATTAAACACAACGCCAAAATATTTACGCCAAAATTTTATTTATAATTTAAATTTAAACAAACAAAGTGCCTTCAAATTTAAAACAAACAGCCTTCAAATTTTATGCTCATGTTTTTTGTTTTTTGCATGTGCACGTTAGATTTGAAATTTGACTGACTACACAAGACAGAGGCTTGATTCCATGAACGCGAGAACAGAAACTTTTATCAAAAAGTTAATATTTTCGGAACTATTGAGAAACTATTATACAAGATAGTATATATTAGGGTTTCACCGGAAGTTCCGGTTCCGGGAACCAGAACTCAAATTGGATCCGGTTCCGGTCAAAATTTTGGTTCCGGTGAAACCCTAGTATATATGCTTATTAGTTTTTATTTTATTTTAATCGCTCTAAAAATACTTGCAAATTTTGAGAAAATCTGATGATCAAATTGGAATATAGTACATATTATTTAACGCAAGTGGAGTAAATTAATTTTTTCGGATGCTGATTATATTCAATAAATTATTTTGTTTTTGACTCAAAATTTTTTTAATCGTCATCCTCCACTCGAGAGTTCCTTCTTTTATTAGCTTCTGCACCTGCTTCTACCACTTTTTGTACTTCAGGCATAACGTCCTCATTAACAAAATTCTGAATATAATCAACATTAATTTACATAAATACCGTTAATGTTCTAATAGATTTAGAAACTAAGGATGCATCTATTTTTCAATGGGTCAGAATGAGATGGCTTCTAATAGAGCATGAGCTTCTGTTAGATACGGGCGGAAATGACGAAGGTGCCGGAACTCTGAACTGTCGGAAATCGAAAATTGCTCAAAAGTCGGAACTCGGAAATCAGCCTAAATTTTCGGAAATCGGAATTCCGATCGCCCTCTGGTTGGAATAACGCTTAGAAATGATCTCCAACTATGATATATGTTTAAAAAATTCCAAAGAATTCCACTTGATTTCTTATTTTTTATTAAGTCCTGCATAAATATTTAATTTCTCTACTACCTTAAATTGCTCAAATTTTTCCTTGACTACAGGAACAGCTTCATCCTCCACCCAATCTTGCACCTTTTCATGAGTTTTGGGATCCTGAAGTGTTTTCTTTGTTTCATCAAATTTTTCTCTAATTGTAGGGCCGGCTTTGTCTTTAATCCAATCTGCTGCCTTCAAAAATATTTAACAAAGATTTAGCATAAAAATATGAATTTTAACAAAGATAAAAAGTAATTCACCCAAAAATGTACAGTCGAATCTTTTTTAAATACCCCATTAGGCATATCCCATCAGACATATCCCATAGATATGCCTGACCCAAGACAGAACTGAGAGACATCTCTCAACTAATGGTCAGGTAATCATAAATTGAGTTTTATTTAGTTTAGTGAGGCCGGATATCCGAACCGAAATTTTCGGTATCCGGATATCCGAAGATTTCCAACTATCGTCCGACCTTAATAGGTAAATAAATAATAACCTTAATACTTTAATAAAACCATAATTAACCTTAACCTTAATAACCTTAACTTAATAATCTAATTTCCTCCTTTTTTAATTTCCTCATTTCAGAATTTACAATTCTGATTAAAAATACCTGAGTCAATTTTCCATGTACCCCATCAACTACATCATCCCACCAATCTGCCCTAGAACCCAAAATATTCAAATTTAGCAAAATAAAGACAGCAAAATATTTAATAAACATTTAATGATAAATATTTATTTTTAAAAATCTCTATTGAAAAATAAAAATATTCGAAAGAGAAAAAATATTTTTAAACGGATTAAAATAATTTTTATTTAGGTTAAATACATATTGAAATATGTATTAAAAATTTGGGAGGAGTTGAAATTTTGCAATCGCCAAATATTTTTGTAAAAAGATTCAATGTAAAGATGAGGTCATTTTTTCGGGCCGGGCCTTTCGGGTCTTTTTCGGGCCTGATATTTATCTAACCGAGCCGTTCGGGTCTTTTTCGGGTTCGATCTATCAGTTCGATCTATCGAACAGAACCGGGCCCGCAACCCTATATATGTAGGAACTGAGCTTATTTACCCTGAAAGACAATTGTATTAGCTAGAAAATGAGTTGATAATATTAAAAAATGTAAACGAGAAAAAAAGTTATGGCAAATTAAAGTTGTCCTAAAATTTTATTGTCACCCTCTATATTTGAGTGAAGCACTAATAGTTTTGATTAAATTATTAATTCCTTAATCAATTATTTTTAAAGGGGAAATTAGCTTGTTTTTAATTAATTCCTTCCCTTTATTTAACAAAATAATCAAAAATTAATTTTTCTTTTGTCAAAAACGGGTTTAACAAAGATTACCAGCTCTGAGTTAATCAGGCCCTTATCTCTTGCCAAAATAAAAAAAAACTAGTTATATTAGGGAAGGGATTAATTTAATTAAATTAATGGTCAAATAAGGGAGGAGAGAGGAGGAAAATAAATTAAAAATTAAATTCGGATTTAATTAAAAAGAAAAGAAAGATCCAGCTTTAAAACGCTCACTAGGCGGAGGTTTAAGATCTAATGAAAAAAAAACAGGGAGCTCAGTTGGTAGCTCGGTTGGTAGAACACCTGTACGTGGTGAGCGAAGACGCCTAGCAATGACTCCCAGGGGGTCGCAGGATCGAAGCCTGCTCGGAATTAAACTATACCTCGCTCTTACTCAAATAAGGAGGAGAGTGAGGGGGAAAATAAATTAAAATTAAATTCTGATTTAATTAAAAAAAAATTTTTTTGAAGGAAAATTATGCAAAATTTAATAATTTTTTGTTGTTCAAAATTTAAACTTAAACTTTGAGAAAAAAAAAATTTTTAAAAAATAGTTAAAATATTTAAATCAGTCATCCTTTTAGCTATTTATTAAACAGTCATTCCTTCAGCAAAAATTATTTTAACTAAAAAATTTAAGTGACATATTAATTTTGCTTTTAATGACTCATTCAATCTAAAAACTATTTAGTTTTGAACATTTAAATTTAAATTATTCAAGATATGCTTTTACGGAGGGAGTTTATTTTTTTAAATTAACCCACATTTCCGGACAACACGAGGACAAAAAAAAGAAACCTATTTAAATTTGGAGAGTTCTCAAAAATTGAGAGGGTTATCGATGACTCTCTTTTTAATATTTATTAAGGAAAGGGTTTAACTTAAAATTAATAAGACTAGTTTAGTTGAGAAAGGTGACCATTGACCAAAAGTAAGAGTTTTTGGTTTGGCCTTGAGAAAGTAATGAGAGGAAAATTGAGCCAACGATGGGCTAGGTAGATAAAAATAAATATTGATTTTGCTTATTTGTTGGGCCCATTAATCTTTTTTAAGCTGAGTAATTTTGACAAGTTTAAACAAAATTATGACTAAGGATGGGAGACGTAGTGAGGGCCATAACTTTTTTAAAAAATTGGAGGAGTTTGATAATCGTTTTAAAATAATCCTATTTGTAAGCTCAATTTTTCTACAAAAAATACATACCTATTTTATGTACTTATTTGTGGAATGATTATTTTATTTTCTAGCTATTAGTAGGTAAGGTTACAAATTAGTGTAGACCTACATTGCTGCCTACCTCAGGGTTTACAAACAAAACTAGATCCAGTTGCCACCACGGCATACCACCTTTATAAACACTATACAGGAACTACACTAATTTGTAAGTCAGTCAAAAAAGATTGCCAGGCATGGAACCTAAGTCTCCCATCATGTGCAAGTTGGGTGTGTTAACCACTTACCCTAATCATTTGAAATTTTCAAAATTTTTTAATGTAAACATATTTCCATTAGAAAAAAAAAAGAAAATTTATTTATGTAATATTTTAGAAATCAATTAATACATATTCCCCAAGAGATCAAAAAATTTTAATTAAAAGATCATTAAAAATTATTTTAAAATAAAATTCGTATTTTCCATCATTTGCTATTTTTATTGTTTGTCGTTTTTTAACTGCTTCTGATCTGACAAATTTTGTTGATGTTTTGAATCTGGAATAATTTAATTAAATAATTAATTAAGTCTATTCCAATTTTATTTATTATTAGAGATCGGTCTGGATCTGGATCCAGATCTTGATTTTTCCTGGATCCAGAGCCCAATTCAAGGCATTTTTCAGCGTTCCTTGATTTTTCCTTGACTCAAGGTCCTTGATCTGGTCAAGGTCCTAACGATTCGGTATTTTAACCCCTTTTTAGCCTATTCGCGATTTTAACCATTCCATATTTTAACGATTCCATATTCACCTCAAATCAAGGTCAAGGATCAAAGTCACAGTTTTTTTGGCTCCGGTACAAAATATGGAATCGTTAAAATATGGAATGGTTAAAATCGCGAATAGGCTAAAAAGGGGTTAAAATACCGAATCGTTAAAATATGGAATGGTTAAAATATCGAATCGGGTAAAAAAGGGTTAAAATATGGAATCGTCAAAATATCGAATTGATAAAATGTCGACACGGCCAAAATGGGTCAAAATGTCGAATTCCTTTAAAAAAGGTTCAGATGAGTGCCATACGTTGATTGTTGATAATTTTATCAACTTATCAACTTGCTGCTGATAAGTTGGTTCATAAGTTTGTTGAGTCGAAGTACGGCGTAATCTTTTCTGACTGAGTTCAGTGTATTTTACCGAGTAAAACCAGACCGGATAAATCAAGAAAATCGACCGGATCCGGTCCGGCATGATCGTGCGGATCCGGAAAACACAACAGGATCCCGATACGGAAAAATTAGAGTAGCGTCACTAGTTTTTAGTTAAGACCTAAATTTTGTACCTTACCGTATACGGTACGGAATACCGAAAAATACCGATCAGCTTTTAAATTTTATCGGTCGGTATTCCGCCCGTACTACCGATACGGAATACTGATAAATACCGTCGGTATTACGGTAACGCCCGGATTTTAGGTTTTGGCGCCATTTTTTAAAAAAATTCGACATTTTGACCCATTTTGGCCGTGTCGACATTTTATCAATTCGATATTTTAACGATTCGGTATTTTAACCCCTTTTTAGCCTATTCGCGATTTTAACCATTCCATATTTTAACGATTCCACATTTTGACCCCTTTTTAGCCTATTCGCGATTTTAGCCCATTTTTACCCAATTCGAGATTTTAACCCTTTTTTAGCCTATTCCATATTTTAACGATTCGATATTTTGTCCGGACACGGTTTTTTTAATTTCCTTTCTCTATGTATTATACAGTAAAGTCTCTCGTTTGATTGTTATAGTGTAACCGAAAAAGACGGAAACGGGAGAGAACCCGTTACTGTTGTAAATAATTAAAGGGGAGGGGGGTGTTGGTTTAGCACACTATCCCCATCCAATGACACCGACCACGAATGGGACGGTTGAAAAAAGTCAGGTTGGGGTTCGAATCAGAAAACCTACATATTTCTGTCTTTAAATAAAATTTTTCTTGAACTTTAAATTTTAAATTTTCACCTCTCCCAAATCGAACAAAAGTCTGTCCCCTTTTCCCAAACCGAACAAATGTTTGTGCTCTCTTTCCGAATCGAACAAAAGTTTGTGCTCTTTTTTCTTTCTCATTTTCCTCTAAAGGTTCTTCTACTTCCCCTTCTTCAACAAATATTTTTTGTTGTGGCCATTCAATGCCTGAAGAGGGGAATAAATGTGGGGAAGGGCCAAAACTGTTAAGAAAATTTTGTTGTTGCTGTAATTGTTGCCAGTCTCGGGAATATTGTCTTTCACGTGTTAAGGCAATCAAATCTCGAATTAATTGCTCTTTAAATGCAAAAAATTTTTTATTAAAATTTAAAAATATATTATGGTGGGTGGGGTAATAAGTAGGTAGGTAGAGGAAAAATAGCTAGAGGGTTCTAACCTTTAGTTAAAGAAATCTCTTTAAATATTTATCTTTAAATATTGTTACAGTATATTAAACGACCTGTATGCCCTTAGGGCTGGAAAAAGCATAAACTGAAATGCGGGCCTTTCTGAGCCTCTCCCATAGATTGAGTATGCAATTGTTTGGGGTCTCTCAATAATATGTATTGCCAAAATTCAATGGCCCATGCATCAAATATTAACTCGAAAACACTTACCCCAAGCTCGATAAAAAATTAAATGGCCCAGGTTCCAAACTTGTTCAAGTCTTGGCTCTGACTCTAGGGATTTTAAGGTCTTAGCCGCGGACTTTACTGAAATGCGGGGCACTTTAATGTGATTCTCTCACGTAGGTGTGCAACTGGTGTGGAGTAGCACACTTAATGCTGCTCACTCAGCTCGAAAGCCCCTTCTCGAGTAAAAGTCTTTCCCTACGGTAGGTGATAATTTGTCCCCTCTCATTAATCGTCCTTATATTCAAATATTTATTCTTCACCTTTTTGCCTCTCAATTTCATTTTTATCATATTCCAATTTATTATTTTCTCGTTGTTTTACTTCACTTCCCTTAGTTGTCAAAAAACTACTGACAGCCAAAATAAAAAATAATAATTGAATATTTAAATATATTTGTTGTTCTTTTAAGTACATTTTAGGAGGAATTTGGTGTTTTAAAAATTGAAAAGAATTTTTTTTATTTTTAGAAAATATTTGGAGGTTAATTTAAAATGAATGGAGAATTTAAACTAAAAATAAAATTAAAAAAAATTTTTTAATTGGAGATTGAACTAAGTTGATTATTGGGATATTTTTTTGATTAATATTTTTCAAGATTGATGGCTTTATTACATCTCCCATCCAATGAAAATTCCCAAAACATGTGCTCAATTATAAGCACCCAAAGGTATCTAGAGATCGGACCGAGATGAAATTTCGTTAAAAACATCGGTTAACGAGATCGAAAAATTTCGAGATTTGCTAAATAGTAAGTATATTAATTTTGATTTTTATAATATCCGATCCTTAATATAAATACATACAATAAAAGCTCGATTTTTTCATAATTTAACAAGGAATACAGGTAATTTTGAATTTCGTACACCCTCCCCCTCTCTTTTTTCTTTCTCAAGATGTTAAAAATGGTCAGTCTTCAGACGAATGTAGAGCACAACGAACTTTGTCGAATGACACTAAAATCAAAAAAATCCGACTTGATTTGACCGACTGAGATTGACCAAGATTTGACCGACATTAGTCTGAAGACTGACCATTTTTAACATCTTGAGAAAGAAAAAAGGGAGGGGGAGGGGGTACGAAATTCAAAATTACCGGAATACACTCTATTTTAGGCATGATAATGGATACGGATAAAGATAAGTTCAAAATGCCTGCGGATATCCGTCTGTATGCGCGGTAAATATCCGGATACGGATACCAAAATCCGGATACTGATCCATGACAAAGTCTGCTTTATTAGAAAATGATAACTACTACCTAATTAGGATTTAAAAAAATCTAAAAGTACTTGGAAATATAAAAAATAATTAAATCTGTCTAGAAAAATGTTTATTTTATTTAAATAAAATGTCTGAAAAAAGCCATTAAGCTTAAAAGGAATAAAAAATATTATGAATAACGTGCTTCTACGTAAGGGGAAGAAAGGTGTGTGTTTAGAATGGCATTATAAAGAAATAAATCTTTTAAGGATTTATTTTTTAAAGTACACAAACATTAAATTAATTTTTGTTTTTTTTGAGGAAAAAAATTTTTTATGTAAATTTTGGGATGAATTGTGTCGCTAGTTTGAATAATTAGCAAAATAAATTTTGGAAAAAAAATATTTTTGATGTATTAAATAATGAAGAAACATTTTAAAGGGATTTTTAAAAATTGAAAAAAAATTTTTTAATTTCCAGAAAAAATTCATGGCTCTTCCTACAGTTGATTTGGAAGCAGGCCAAGGTCCTTCGAGGCCAAGGTACGACCCTAACTTCGTTCAGAATTATCGAATCCGGGAAGCCCTGGTATAATATTAAATTAATTTTCAGCTCGTAGAGGTGCATCGAGTTATAATACGGTGTCTCGGACTCGATAATTTGAACGAAGTTATAGCTCAACGGCACTATGGCAATCGCGGGTACACACGTTGACATGTACGCGGTTGACTTAGTTCAATAAAACCTTTCGAATATTGGACGCCCTAAGATTTTCCAAAAATTAAGATATTCGGCAGTTCTGGTTCCTAATGTTTCAAAATCTAGCCAAGCTGAGTTTCCAGTTCTTATAACGGATGCACGACCCGGGAAAGTACTTCTGAGAGGTGTTCTGTTAAGACAGCTGGCTTCTGTGCACACATACCCAATATTCTAGGCTTATAAACGTTGTGGAATTATATTTTGTAGTTAAAAATTCTTTGAATATATCTAGGTTTTTTCTTCAGATATTAAAAATATAAGAGAAAAAATCTCAGGGCTGTCAACATTTCTCAAAAAAAATTTCGCTAGAAGCAGCCTTGGGGGAGTGGAAAATTTTTTTATTCTACATAATATATATTATTTAATTTATATTTTGTAGTTAAAAATTAATTTATTTAAAAATCTATTTTTGGAATAATAAAAGAAAGAAATTAGTGGGATTTCAATAAAATTAAAAATTAAAAATAATTTTAATAAATAAAGGGAGAATTCCTGTAAAGCAACCATTCAAAGGGTTTTTTGTTTTAAATTAGCGGAATGCCAAAAATAAATTAGAAAATAATTAAAGGATTAAATAAGAGAAAAGAAAAGAGATTTTTAATGGGAAAATTTGTAACACAGGATTTTTTTAGAATTTTTAGAAAAAAAATGACACCCACACCTTTAATTATTTTTATTAATTTTTAATCCTATTCTGTTAAAAAATAATTTTAAAAAATTAAAATAAAATTTTTAATAATTAATTTAAATAAAGTAAATACTGTTTAAATGCTTCTGAAAGAAATATGATAAATTTTAGATCGGTATCCAGGAGTTAACATAACGCTTACACTAAAATCGCTTTGCGTTTTGCGACAGAAAGATAATTGGAAAACATGATAGACATGTCACGGAATTTTGTGAAATTTTTTCTTTTTGTAAATTTTGCGAGAAGGGATCTTGCTGAATCAATCCTGCAAAATCCCGAAAATTCCTCAAAGAATATTTTTTAATTTAAAACTCGCGATGGTTTTTGAATGACGCAAATACGGAGCAAAAATAAGGAAAAAAAATTTTAGAGAAAATATTCGAAAAATTGTTTTATGATTTAGTATATATGTAGTAAAGGTACACAAAAACAATGAATAAATAATTAATTTTATTTTTAAGAAAAAAATAATAATAAATAGATAAATAATAATTTACATATTTTCTAACTATCGATGTTCCTTACAGACCATGAGTAGTTGGTAAGGAACATTGGTGAAATTTAAATTTTAAAGAGAAGGGAAAGAAATTGAAAAAGGAAATAATGTTTAGCCATAAACAAAAGTTTAAAACTTTAAAAGAAAAAAAAATTTAGAGGAAAAATAAAAAAATAAATCCAAAAACTAGTAAAGTATTTAACAAAAATGCCACCCAGAAATAAACGAAAAATGACTTTTTTTTCTAAATTTTTTTTCAAAAACGACTTTAAAAAAATTTTTAAGCTTTGTTGGGTTTCTTTTAAGGGTTTCTTTCTTATAAAGAAATTTTTTGCGTTCCCTTTTTGTGTTTAAATCATTTCCGGTACAAATTAGTAGTGGCAGTTGTTGTTAGAGACATGGGCAGAATTATATTTTATATCTCAAGAAAGGACAAACCGTTCTGGCTATTTTTGGTATCATTCGCTAGAAAAATGAATTAGCTACTAAATACTCAGAAATCAAAATTTTTAGAAAAAGATTTAAAAAGTTAAAAGCGAAAAACTAGCACAATATAGGCGTTTTTGACTATTTTGTGTTAGTTTTTCGACCAGAACTTTTTTGACTGAAGGCCAAAAATTCTGATTTTTTCAAGTTCCATATAGGATTGAATTCTCTATCAAATGGTTCTAGAATGATTTAAATTGGCTTCTATTAAAAAAGTTATAAGGCTAAAACCACAGTAGCCGTGTTGACTTGACATTTTACTGTGTTCAGTTACTTTTTCGACCAGAACTTTCTTATCGAAAAACCAAAAATTCTGATTTTTTGAAATCTAGTAGAGAATTTAATTCTCTATCGAATCGCACCAAGAACATTCAAAATGGTCGCCTAGTTCAAAAGTTATAAGGCTAGAACCTCAGTCAACTAGTTAACTGGACCAAAGAGCTTAAATCCCCAAATAAAAAATAATAACATCATAATTATCTCGCTTTTGTTATTTTTTTATGTTTTTCTAGTTTCCGGGGAAACAGCAAAAAATAAAGAAAGAATAATTCTCAAACAAAAAACTAATTCCTTCCCTATTTTCTCTCAAGTGACAAAATTTCCCATAAATAAAAACAGCTTTTTTGAAATAATTTTTGGTCTCATTTAACACATTTTTAAAATAAAAAATGAATAAAATGGGAAAACTAAATGGAGAAACAGAAGAAAAAAATTTTTTTTATTTAATTTTTCTTTTAAAAAAATTTTTTTGTTTAATAAATGCATGCTTTAATAAGCCGTTAATTAACAATTTTTGTTGCCTATATTGAGGGATTTTTTAAATAAAGAAATAAATTGAAGAATTATAGGATTAAGAGAATAGCGTATTTTATTTTTAAAAAATTGGCTCTTAAATTAAATCCTTTCAAGTTTTATAACATGTGTTCCTTACAGACTACCTGTGGTTGGTAAGGAACATTAATGAGGTTTGTGGTATTTTTAAAGAGAAAAATTATTAAAAAATGAAAAATTTGGGATATTGTATTTTTAAAATAATAATACTTACGTATATAAAATTTTCGAAAAATATCTGGACTTAAAGCTATGTTCCTTACAGACTACTTGTAGTGCGTAAGGCACATAACTTTACAACAATTAATTATCATAGCAATGTGCCGACCATTAGTAGTCTGTAGAGAACGTGTTCCCTACAGACATGTTCTTGTAGTCTTTATAGAGCTTGTAGTCTTTAAGGAACATGTTCCCTACAGACCACTAGTAGTCGGAAAGGAACATATTCCCTACAGACCACTGGTAGTCGGAAAGGAATATATTCCCTACAGACCACTAGTAGTCGGAAAGAAACATGTTCCCTACAGCCAACTGGTTGTCGGAAAGGAACATGTTCCCTACAGCCAACTGGTTGTCGGAAAGGAACATGTTCCCTACAGACCACTGTAGTCGGAAAGGAACATGTTCCCTACAGACCACTAGTAGTCGGAAAGGAACATGTTCCCTACAGACCATAGGTAGTCGGAAAGAAACATGTTCCCTACAGACCACTAGTAGTCGGAAAGGAACATGTTCCCTACAGACCACTGTAGTCGGAAAGGAACATGTTCCCTACAGACCACTAGTAGTCGGAAAGGAACATGTTCCCTACAGACCATAGGTAGTCGGAAAGAAACATGTTCCCTACAGACCACTAGTAGTCGGAAAGAAACATGTTCCCTACAGCCAACTGGTTGTCTGAAAGGAACATGTTCCCTACAGACCATTGTAGTCGGAAAGGAACATGTTCCCTTCCGCCAACCACTAGAATTCTATGAACATGTTCCTAACCGACTACTTGTGGTCGGTAAGGAACACTATTA